GGAAGAGTACTTTCCTGATACTTCGCTTGAAAAAAAAAAAAGATTATCCCAAAATGAGCCATTGGAATGAAAAATTCAAACCAAAAGAAAATCGACAAGATTTCATGTCTTTAAGTTATACATAATCCGTTTCTGAACTTGCTAAAATTTGAAATATATGAAACTAATCATAGAGGACAGTTTTAATTAAAAAAAAACGTAATGACAGATCAGATTTTTTGGTTTGGAGTTACATTCTGAGCTCATAGTTGAACGCAAAATCAACTTGCTTTAAAGTGATGTATAAAGGTAAAGGTTAGTCAATACTAAAGAGACAAATACTAGTTTGGCCATTGACCTATACCAAAGGTTCAAGCACTTTTATGTTCAAATGAAACACATTTGTTAGTCCAACAAGCCTGACCTGATTGACCAACAGTGCAGAAACAAAATTAAGTGTGACATCTGTTCCAATTCACTTATGTATTTACCTAGGGGGGTTGTGGGAAGAGGTTGTTGTTGTTTTTAAGCCCAAAATCTTGATTTAAGGAAATTTATATATGATGTCTTCCTGTCTTTTCTCAGTCGATACTGCCAAAAAGGATATTGTGTTCCTTCTGGATGGTTCTGATGGCACAAGGAATGGCTTCCCTGCCATGCTTGATTTTGTGAAGAGAGTGGTGGAGAAATTGAATGTAGGACCTAACAATGACCGTGTCTCTGTGGTCCAATACAGCAGAGATGCAGAGATCCATTTCTATCTGAACACATACACCACAAGACAGGATATTTTGGATACAGTCAGAGGGCTGAGACATAGAGGAGGCAGACCCCTCAACACCGGGGCGGCCCTCCAATACGTCAGGGACAACGCCTTTACAAACTCCTCTGGGAGCAGGCGCCTGCAAAGTGTTCCACAAATGTTGATCCTGCTAAATGGTGGAAGGTCTTTTGACAATGTAGATACCCCAGCCTCTGCTCTCAAACAGCAGGGTGTCTATGTGATAGGCATTGGCACAAGGAACTCTGACACTAGGGAGCTGCAGAAGATATCATATGACCCTAGTTCTGCTCTATCAGTGTCTGATTTCACTGACCTCCCCAGTGCCCAGGAACAGCTCTCCTCTGTAATGAACACAGTGCTAACCAGGGCCACGCCCATCACACCAACAAAAGCTGGTAAGAAAGTGACAGATTTTTATTTTCCAAGGTCATGGTAGGATGCAAATTGAACAGTATGACAGTGTATTTATTGTAGCTGAGGCAAGCCAGCAGCACTCTGAGAATACATTTGTTCCAGATTATACAGAGTACATTGTTAAATTCCAGGTTAGCTTTGGTCATCTGACTTTCACATGGAAAACATTTGACACATGAACCTGAACATGTCTGACATTTTTTATTCCCTAGTGGAGAGACAGCCAGCAGGAAAAGATATTGTGTTCTTGTTGGATGGATCTGATGGTACTAGAACTGGCTTCCCAGCTGTGAAAGACTTTGTCCAAAGAGTTGTAGAGACACTCAGTGTGGATGACAACAAAGACCGTGTCTCAGTGGTTCAGTACAGCAAAGAGCCAGCTGCCCAATTCTATCTGAACACGTACACCACAAAAGGCGACATCCTTGACACTGTCAGAGGATTGAGGCACAAAGGTGGAAGACCCCTCAACACTGGAGCAGCTCTCCAGTACTTGAGGGATAATGTCTTCACGGCCTCTGCTGGAAGCAGGCTCCAGGAAGGAGTCCCACAGGTCCTAGTTTTGATAAGTGGTGGAAGGTCTTTTGACAGTGTTGATGCACCAGCCTCTGCTCTCAAAGAGCTGGGTGTCTTGACCTTTGCAATTGGAACCAGGAGTGCTGATAGCAAAGAACTGCAGAAGATATCCCACGACCCCAGCTATGCACTAACTGTGTCTGAATTCACTGACCTTCCCAATGTCCAACAACAACTTCAGTCCTCCGTGGAGGCTGTGGTTATCGAGGTCTCCCAGAATCACCACCTGTTCCTGGTATGTTAACAAGCATGGCCCCTTACAGGCCTGATAGACACATGATTTGTTTGACCTACACTGAGGCAAGGAAAATAAGTGTGAAATTTGTGTAGCCGCAATTCAAAATGAGGGGGAGGTTTTCTCCCATTGTTTACATTAAATTAGCCAGCGTTAGGTGACTGAAAAACAAAAAAAGAGAAATCAAATAAAAATTGCACCACTTGATGATTAGCCCAGCAGCGTAGATTTGGCAAAAAAATTCACCTGATGTCTTCCTGTCTTTTCTCAGTCGATACTGCCAAAAAGGATATCGTTTTCCTCCTGGATGGTTCTGATGGCACACGGAATGGCTTCCCTGCCATGCTTGATTTTGTTAAGAGAGTGGTGGAGAAATTGAATGTAGGACCTAACAATGACCGTGTCTCTGTGGTCCAATACAGCAGAGATGCAGAGATCCATTTCTATCTGAACACATACACCACAAGACAGGATATTTTGGATACAGTCAGAGGGCTGAGACATAGAGGAGGCAGACCCCTCAACACCGGGGCGGCCCTCCAATACGTCAGGGACAACGCCTTTACAAACTCCTCCGGGAGCAGGCGCCTGCAAGGTGTTCCACAAATGTTGATCCTGCTAAATGGTGGAAGGTCTTTTGACAATGTAGATACCCCAGCCTCTGCTCTCAAACAGCAGGGTGTCTATGTGATAGGCATTGGCACAAGGAACTCTGACACTAGGGAGCTGCAGAAGATATCATATGACCCTAGTTCTGCTCTATCAGTGTCTGATTTCACTGACCTCCCCAGTGCCCAGGAACAGCTCTCCTCTGTAATGAACACAGTGCTAACCAGGGCCACGCCCATCACACCAACAAAAGCTGGTAAGAAAGTGACAGATTTTTATTTTCCAAGGTCATGGTAGGATGCAAATTGAACAGTATGACAGTGTATTTATTGTAGCTGAGGCAAGCCAGCAGCACTCTGAGAATACATTTGTTCCAGATTATACAGAGTACATTGTTAAATTCCAGGTTAGCTTTGGTCATCTGACTTTCACATGGAAAACATTTGACACGTGAACCTGAACATGTCTGACATTTTTATTCCCTAGTGGAGAGACAGCCAGCAGGAAAAGATATTGTGTTCTTGTTGGATGGATCTGATGGTACTAGAACTGGCTTCCCAGCTGTGAAAGACTTTGTCCAAAGAGTTGTAGAGACACTCAGTGTGGATGACAACAAAGACCGTGTCTCAGTGGTTCAGTACAGCAAAGAGCCAGCTGCCCAATTCTATCTGAACACGTACACCACAAAAGGCGACATCCTTGACACTGTCAGAGGATTGAGGCACAAAGGTGGAAGACCCCTCAACACTGGAGCAGCTCTCCAGTACTTGAGGGATAATGTCTTCACGGCCTCTGCTGGAAGCAGGCTCCAGGAAGGAGTCCCACAGGTCCTAGTTTTGATAAGTGGTGGAAGGTCTTTTGACAGTGTTGATGCACCAGCCTCTGCTCTCAAAGAGCTGGGTGTCTTGACCTTTGCAATTGGAACCAGGAGTGCTGATAGCAAAGAACTGCAGAAGATATCCCACGACCCCAGCTATGCACTAACTGTGTCTGAATTCACTGACCTTCCCAATGTCCAACAACAACTTCAGTCCTCCGTGGAGGCTGTGGTTATCGAGGTCTCCCCAGAATCACCACCTGTTCCTGGTATGTTAACAAGCATGGCCCCTTACAGGCCTGATAGATACATGATTTGTTTGACCTACACTGAGGCAAGGAAAATAAGTGTGAAATTTGTGTAGCCGCATTTCAAAATGAGGGGGAGGTTTTCTCCCATTGTTTACATTAAATTAGCCAGCGTTAGGTGACTGAAAAACAAAAAAGAGAAATCAAATAAAAATTGCACCACTTGATGATTAGCCCAGCAGCGTAGATTTGGCAAAAAAATTCACCTGATGTCTTCCTGTCTTTTCTCAGTCGATACTGCCAAAAAGGATATCGTTTTCCTCCTGGATGGTTCTGATGGCACACGGAATGGCTTCCCTGCCATGCTTGATTTTGTTAAGAGAGTGGTGGAGAAATTGAATGTAGGACCTAACAATGACCGTGTCTCTGTGGTCCAATACAGCAGAGATGCAGAGATCCATTTCTATCTGAACACATACACCACAAGACAGGATATTTTGGATACAGTCAGAGGGCTGAGACATAGAGGAGGCAGACCCCTCAACACCGGGGCGGCCCTCCAATACGTCAGGGACAACGCCTTTACAAACTCCTCCGGGAGCAGGCGCCTGCAAGGTGTTCCACAAATGTTGATCCTGCTAAATGGTGGAAGGTCTTTTGACAATGTAGATACCCCAGCCTCTGCTCTCAAACAGCAGGGTGTCTATGTGATAGGCATTGGCACAAGGAACTCTGACACTAGGGAGCTGCAGAAGATATCATATGACCCTAGTTCTGCTCTATCAGTGTCTGATTTCACTGACCTCCCCAGTGCCCAGGAACAGCTCTCCTCTGTAATGAACACAGTGCTAACCAGGGCCACGCCCATCACACCACAAAAGCTGGTAAGAAAGTGACAGATTTTTATTTTCCAAGGTCATGGTAGGATGCAAATTGAACAGTATGACAGTGTATTTATTGTAGCTGAGGCAAGCCAGCAGCACTCTGAGAATACATTTGTTCCAGATTATACAGAGTACATTGTTAAATTCCAGGTTAGCTTTGGTCATCTGACTTTCACATGGAAAACATTTGACACATGAACCTGAACATGTCTGACATTTTTTATTCCCTAGTGGAGAGACAGCCAGCAGGAAAAGATATTGTGTTCTTGTTGGATGGATCTGATGGTACTAGAACTGGCTTCCCAGCTGTGAAAGACTTTGTCCAAAGAGTTGTAGAGACACTCAGTGTGGATGACAACAAAGACCGTGTCTCAGTGGTTCAGTACAGCAAAGAGCCAGCTGCCCAATTCTATCTGAACACGTACACCACAAAAGGCGACATCCTTGACACTGTCAGAGGATTGAGGCACAAAGGTGGAAGACCCCTCAACACTGGAGCAGCTCTCCAGTACTTGAGGGATAATGTCTTCACGGCCTCTGCTGGAAGCAGGCTCCAGGAAGGAGTCCCACAGGTCCTAGTTTTGATAAGTGGTGGAAGGTCTTTTGACAGTGTTGATGCACCAGCCTCTGCTCTCAAAGAGCTGGGTGTCTTGACCTTTGCAATTGGAACCAGGAGTGCTGATAGCAAAGAACTGCAGAAGATATCCCACGACCCCAGCTATGCACTAACTGTGTCTGAATTCACTGACCTTCCCAATGTCCAACAACAACTTCAGTCCTCCGTGGAGGCTGTGGTTATCGAGGTCTCCCCAGAATCACCACCTGTTCCTGGTATGTTAACAAGCATGGCCCCTTACAGGCCTGATAGATACATGATTTGTTTGACCTACACTGAGGCAAGGAAAATAAGTGTGAAATTTGTGTAGCCGCATTTCAAAATGAGGGGGAGGTTTTCTCCCATTGTTTACATTAAATTAGCCAGCGTTAGGTGACTGAAAAACAAAAAAGAGAAATCAAATAAAAATTGCACCACTTGATGATTAGCCCAGCAGCGTAGATTTGGCAAAAAAATTCACCTGATGTCTTCCTGTCTTTTCTCAGTCGATACTGCCAAAAAGGATATCGTTTTCCTCCTGGATGGTTCTGATGGCACACGGAATGGCTTCCCTGCCATGCTTGATTTTGTTAAGAGAGTGGTGGAGAAATTGAATGTAGGACCTAACAATGACCGTGTCTCTGTGGTCCAATACAGCAGAGATGCAGAGATCCATTTCTATCTGAACACATACACCACAAGACAGGATATTTTGGATACAGTCAGAGGGCTGAGACATAGAGGAGGCAGACCCCTCAACACCGGGGCGGCCCTCCAATACGTCAGGGACAACGCCTTTACAAACTCCTCCGGGAGCAGGCGCCTGCAAGGTGTTCCACAAATGTTGATCCTGCTAAATGGTGGAAGGTCTTTTGACAATGTAGATACCCCAGCCTCTGCTCTCAAACAGCAGGGTGTCTATGTGATAGGCATTGGCACAAGGAACTCTGACACTAGGGAGCTGCAGAAGATATCATATGACCCTAGTTCTGCTCTATCAGTGTCTGATTTCACTGACCTCCCCAGTGCCCAGGAACAGCTCTCCTCTGTAATGAACACAGTGCTAACCAGGGCCACGCCCATCACACCAACAAAAGCTGGTAAGAAAGTGACAGATTTTTATTTTCCAAGGTCATGGTAGGATGCAAATTGAACAGTATGACAGTGTATTTATTGTAGCTGAGGCAAGCCAGCAGCACTCTGAGAATACATTTGTTCCAGATTATACAGAGTACATTGTTAAATTCCAGGTTAGCTTTGGTCATCTGACTTTCACATGGAAAACATTTGACACATGAACCTGAACATGTCTGACATTTTTTATTCCCTAGTGGAGAGACAGCCAGCAGGAAAAGATATTGTGTTCTTGTTGGATGGATCTGATGGTACTAGAACTGGCTTCCCAGCTGTGAAAGACTTTGTCCAAAGAGTTGTAGAGACACTCAGTGTGGATGACAACAAAGACCGTGTCTCAGTGGTTCAGTACAGCAAAGAGCCAGCTGCCCAATTCTATCTGAACACGTACACCACAAAAGGCGACATCCTTGACACTGTCAGAGGATTGAGGCACAAAGGTGGAAGACCCCTCAACACTGGAGCAGCTCTCCAGTACTTGAGGGATAATGTCTTCACGGCCTCTGCTGGAAGCAGGCTCCAGGAAGGAGTCCCACAGGTCCTAGTTTTGATAAGTGGTGGAAGGTCTTTTGACAGTGTTGATGCACCAGCCTCTGCTCTCAAAGAGCTGGGTGTCTTGACCTTTGCAATTGGAACCAGGAGTGCTGATAGCAAAGAACTGCAGAAGATATCCCACGACCCCAGCTATGCACTAACTGTGTCTGAATTCACTGACCTTCCCAATGTCCAACAACAACTTCAGTCCTCCGTGGAGGCTGTGGTTATCGAGGTCTCCCCAGAATCACCACCTGTTCCTGGTATGTTAACAAGCATGGCCCCTTACAGGCCTGATAGACACATGATTTGTTTGACCTACACTGAGGCAAGGAAAATAAGTGTGAAATTTGTGTAGCCGCATTTCAAAATGAGGGGGAGGTTTTCTCCCATTGTTTACATTAAATTAGCCAGCGTTAGGTGACTGAAAAACAAAAAAGAGAAATCAAATAAAAATTGCACCACTTGATGATTAGCCCAGCAGCGTAGATTTGGCAAAAAAATTCACCTGATGTCTTCCTGTCTTTTCTCAGTCGATACTGCCAAAAAGGATATCGTTTTCCTCCTGGATGGTTCTGATGGCACACGGAATGGCTTCCCTGCCATGCTTGATTTTGTTAAGAGAGTGGTGGAGAAATTGAATGTAGGACCTAACAATGACCGTGTCTCTGTGGTCCAATACAGCAGAGATGCAGAGATCCATTTCTATCTGAACACATACACCACAAGACAGGATATTTTGGATACAGTCAGAGGGCTGAGACATAGAGGAGGCAGACCCCTCAACACCGGGGCGGCCCTCCAATACGTCAGGGACAACGCCTTTACAAACTCCTCCGGGAGCAGGCGCCTGCAAGGTGTTCCACAAATGTTGATCCTGCTAAATGGTGGAAGGTCTTTTGACAATGTAGATACCCCAGCCTCTGCTCTCAAACAGCAGGGTGTCTATGTGATAGGCATTGGCACAAGGAACTCTGACACTAGGGAGCTGCAGAAGATATCATATGACCCTAGTTCTGCTCTATCAGTGTCTGATTTCACTGACCTCCCCAGTGCCCAGGAACAGCTCTCCTCTGTAATGAACACAGTGCTAACCAGGGCCACGCCCATCACACCAACAAAAGCTGGTAAGAAAGTGACAGATTTTTATTTTCCAAGGTCATGGTAGGATGCAAATTGAACAGTATGACAGTGTATTTATTGTAGCTGAGGCAAGCCAGCAGCACTCTGAGAATACATTTGTTCCAGATTATACAGAGTACATTGTTAAATTCCAGGTTAGCTTTGGTCATCTGACTTTCACATGGAAAACATTTGACACATGAACCTGAACATGTCTGACATTTTTTATTCCCTAGTGGAGAGACAGCCAGCAGGAAAAGATATTGTGTTCTTGTTGGATGGATCTGATGGTACTAGAACTGGCTTCCCAGCTGTGAAAGACTTTGTCCAAAGAGTTGTAGAGACACTCAGTGTGGATGACAACAAAGACCGTGTCTCAGTGGTTCAGTACAGCAAAGAGCCAGCTGCCCAATTCTATCTGAACACGTACACCACAAAAGGCGACATCCTTGACACTGTCAGAGGATTGAGGCACAAAGGTGGAAGACCCCTCAACACTGGAGCAGCTCTCCAGTACTTGAGGGATAATGTCTTCACGGCCTCTGCTGGAAGCAGGCTCCAGGAAGGAGTCCCACAGGTCCTAGTTTTGATAAGTGGTGGAAGGTCTTTTGACAGTGTTGATGCACCAGCCTCTGCTCTCAAAGAGCTGGGTGTCTTGACCTTTGCAATTGGAACCAGGAGTGCTGATAGCAAAGAACTGCAGAAGATATCCCACGACCCCAGCTATGCACTAACTGTGTCTGAATTCACTGACCTTCCCAATGTCCAACAACAACTTCAGTCCTCCGTGGAGGCTGTGGTTATCGAGGTCTCCCAGAATCACCACCTGTTCCTGGTATGTTAACAAGCATGGCCCCTTACAGGCCTGATAGACACATGATTTGTTTGACCTACACTGAGGCAAGGAAAATAAGTGTGAAATTTGTGTAGCCGCATTTCAAAATGAGGGGGAGGTTTTCTCCCATTGTTTACATTAAATTAGCCAGCGTTAGGTGACTGAAAAACAAAAAAAGAGAAATCAAATAAAAATTGCACCACTTGATGATTAGCCCAGCAGCGTAGATTTGGCAAAAAAATTCACCTGATGTCTTCCTGTCTTTTCTCAGTCGATACTGCCAAAAAGGATATCGTTTTCCTCCTGGATGGTTCTGATGGCACACGGAATGGCTTCCCTGCCATGCTTGATTTTGTTAAGAGAGTGGTGGAGAAATTGAATGTAGGACCTAACAATGACCGTGTCTCTGTGGTCCAATACAGCAGAGATGCAGAGATCCATTTCTATCTGAACACATACACCACAAGACAGGATATTTTGGATACAGTCAGAGGGCTGAGACATAGAGGAGGCAGACCCCTCAACACCGGGGCGGCCCTCCAATACGTCAGGGACAACGCCTTTACAAACTCCTCCGGGAGCAGGCGCCTGCAAGGTGTTCCACAAATGTTGATCCTGCTAAATGGTGGAAGGTCTTTTGACAATGTAGATACCCCAGCCTCTGCTCTCAAACAGCAGGGTGTCTATGTGATAGGCATTGGCACAAGGAACTCTGACACTAGGGAGCTGCAGAAGATATCATATGACCCTAGTTCTGCTCTATCAGTGTCTGATTTCACTGACCTCCCCAGTGCCCAGGAACAGCTCTCCTCTGTAATGAACACAGTGCTAACCAGGGCCACGCCCATCACACCAACAAAAGCTGGTAAGAAAGTGACAGATTTTTATTTTCCAAGGTCATGGTAGGATGCAAATTGAACAGTATGACAGTGTATTTATTGTAGCTGAGGCAAGCCAGCAGCACTCTGAGAATACATTTGTTCCAGATTATACAGAGTACATTGTTAAATTCCAGGTTAGCTTTGGTCATCTGACTTTCACATGGAAAACATTTGACACATGAACCTGAACATGTCTGACATTTTTTATTCCCTAGTGGAGAGACAGCCAGCAGGAAAAGATATTGTGTTCTTGTTGGATGGATCTGATGGTACTAGAACTGGCTTCCCAGCTGTGAAAGACTTTGTCCAAAGAGTTGTAGAGACACTCAGTGTGGATGACAACAAAGACCGTGTCTCAGTGGTTCAGTACAGCAAAGAGCCAGCTGCCCAATTCTATCTGAACACGTACACCACAAAAGGCGACATCCTTGACACTGTCAGAGGATTGAGGCACAAAGGTGGAAGACCCCTCAACACTGGAGCAGCTCTCCAGTACTTGAGGGATAATGTCTTCACGGCCTCTGCTGGAAGCAGGCTCCAGGAAGGAGTCCCACAGGTCCTAGTTTTGATAAGTGGTGGAAGGTCTTTTGACAGTGTTGATGCACCAGCCTCTGCTCTCAAAGAGCTGGGTGTCTTGACCTTTGCAATTGGAACCAGGAGTGCTGATAGCAAAGAACTGCAGAAGATATCCCACGACCCCAGCTATGCACTAACTGTGTCTGAATTCACTGACCTTCCCAATGTCCAACAACAACTTCAGTCCTCCGTGGAGGCTGTGGTTATCGAGGTCTCCCCAGAATCACCACCTGTTCCTGGTATGTTAACAAGCATGGCCCCTTACAGGCCTGATAGATACATGATTTGTTTGACCTACACTGAGGCAAGGAAAATAAGTGTGAAATTTGTGTAGCCGCATTTCAAAATGAGGGGGAGGTTTTCTCCCATTGTTTACATTAAATTAGCCAGCGTTAGGTGACTGAAAAACAAAAAAGAGAAATCAAATAAAAATTGCACCACTTGATGATTAGCCCAGCAGCGTAGATTTGGCAAAAAAATTCACCTGATGTCTTCCTGTCTTTTCTCAGTCGATACTGCCAAAAAGGATATCGTTTTCCTCCTGGATGGTTCTGATGGCACACGGAATGGCTTCCCTGCCATGCTTGATTTTGTTAAGAGAGTGGTGGAGAAATTGAATGTAGGACCTAACAATGACCGTGTCTCTGTGGTCCAATACAGCAGAGATGCAGAGATCCATTTCTATCTGAACACATACACCACAAGACAGGATATTTTGGATACAGTCAGAGGGCTGAGACATAGAGGAGGCAGACCCCTCAACACCGGGGCGGCCCTCCAATACGTCAGGGACAACGCCTTTACAAACTCCTCCGGGAGCAGGCGCCTGCAAGGTGTTCCACAAATGTTGATCCTGCTAAATGGTGGAAGGTCTTTTGACAATGTAGATACCCCAGCCTCTGCTCTCAAACAGCAGGGTGTCTATGTGATAGGCATTGGCACAAGGAACTCTGACACTAGGGAGCTGCAGAAGATATCATATGACCCTAGTTCTGCTCTATCAGTGTCTGATTTCACTGACCTCCCCAGTGCCCAGGAACAGCTCTCCTCTGTAATGAACACAGTGCTAACCAGGGCCACGCCCATCACACCAACAAAAGCTGGTAAGAAAGTGACAGATTTTTATTTTCCAAGGTCATGGTAGGATGCAAATTGAACAGTATGACAGTGTATTTATTGTAGCTGAGGCAAGCCAGCAGCACTCTGAGAATACATTTGTTCCAGATTATACAGAGTACATTGTTAAATTCCAGGTTAGCTTTGGTCATCTGACTTTCACATGGAAAACATTTGACACATGAACCTGAACATGTCTGACATTTTTTATTCCCTAGTGGAGAGACAGCCAGCAGGAAAAGATATTGTGTTCTTGTTGGATGGATCTGATGGTACTAGAACTGGCTTCCCAGCTGTGAAAGACTTTGTCCAAAGAGTTGTAGAGACACTCAGTGTGGATGACAACAAAGACCGTGTCTCAGTGGTTCAGTACAGCAAAGAGCCAGCTGCCCAATTCTATCTGAACACGTACACCACAAAAGGCGACATCCTTGACACTGTCAGAGGATTGAGGCACAAAGGTGGAAGACCCCTCAACACTGGAGCAGCTCTCCAGTACTTGAGGGATAATGTCTTCACGGCCTCTGCTGGAAGCAGGCTCCAGGAAGGAGTCCCACAGGTCCTAGTTTTGATAAGTGGTGGAAGGTCTTTTGACAGTGTTGATGCACCAGCCTCTGCTCTCAAAGAGCTGGGTGTCTTGACCTTTGCAATTGGAACCAGGAGTGCTGATAGCAAAGAACTGCAGAAGATATCCCACGACCCCAGCTATGCACTAACTGTGTCTGAATTCACTGACCTTCCCAATGTCCAACAACAACTTCAGTCCTCCGTGGAGGCTGTGGTTATCGAGGTCTCCCCAGAATCACCACCTGTTCCTGGTATGTTAACAAGCATGGCCCCTTACAGGCCTGATAGATACATGATTTGTTTGACCTACACTGAGGCAAGGAAAATAAGTGTGAAATTTGTGTAGCCGCATTCAAAATGAGGGGGAGGTTTTCTCCCATTGTTTACATTAAATTAGCCAGCGTTAGGTGACTGAAAAACAAAAAAGAGAAATCAAATAAAAATTGCACCACTTGATGATTAGCCCAGCAGCGTAGATTTGGCAAAAAAATTCACCTGATGTCTTCCTGTCTTTTCTCAGTCGATACTGCCAAAAAGGATATCGTTTTCCTCCTGGATGGTTCTGATGGCACACGGAATGGCTTCCCTGCCATGCTTGATTTTGTTAAGAGAGTGGTGGAGAAATTGAATGTAGGACCTAACAATGACCGTGTCTCTGTGGTCCAATACAGCAGAGATGCAGAGATCCATTTCTATCTGAACACATACACCACAAGACAGGATATTTTGGATACAGTCAGAGGGCTGAGACATAGAGGAGGCAGACCCCTCAACACCGGGGCGGCCCTCCAATACGTCAGGGACAACGCCTTTACAAACTCCTCCGGGAGCAGGCGCCTGCAAGGTGTTCCACAAATGTTGATCCTGCTAAATGGTGGAAGGTCTTTTGACAATGTAGATACCCCAGCCTCTGCTCTCAAACAGCAGGGTGTCTATGTGATAGGCATTGGCACAAGGAACTCTGACACTAGGGAGCTGCAGAAGATATCATATGACCCTAGTTCTGCTCTATCAGTGTCTGATTTCACTGACCTCCCCAGTGCCCAGGAACAGCTCTCCTCTGTAATGAACACAGTGCTAACCAGGGCCACGCCCATCACACCAACAAAAGCTGGTAAGAAAGTGACAGATTTTTATTTTCCAAGGTCATGGTAGGATGCAAATTGAACAGTATGACAGTGTATTTATTGTAGCTGAGGCAAGCCAGCAGCACTCTGAGAATACATTTGTTCCAGATTATACAGAGTACATTGTTAAATTCCAGGTTAGCTTTGGTCATCTGACTTTCACATGGAAAACATTTGACACATGAACCTGAACATGTCTGACATTTTTTATTCCCTAGTGGAGAGACAGCCAGCAGGAAAAGATATTGTGTTCTTGTTGGATGGATCTGATGGTACTAGAACTGGCTTCCCAGCTGTGAAAGACTTTGTCCAAAGAGTTGTAGAGACACTCAGTGTGGATGACAACAAAGACCGTGTCTCAGTGGTTCAGTACAGCAAAGAGCCAGCTGCCCAATTCTATCTGAACACGTACACCACAAAAGGCGACATCCTTGACACTGTCAGAGGATTGAGGCACAAAGGTGGAAGACCCCTCAACACTGGAGCAGCTCTCCAGTACTTGAGGGATAATGTCTTCACGGCCTCTGCTGGAAGCAGGCTCCAGGAAGGAGTCCCACAGGTCCTAGTTTTGATAAGTGGTGGAAGGTCTTTTGACAGTGTTGATGCACCAGCCTCTGCTCTCAAAGAGCTGGGTGTCTTGACCTTTGCAATTGGAACCAGGAGTGCTGATAGCAAAGAACTGCAGAAGATATCCCACGACCCCAGCTATGCACTAACTGTGTCTGAATTCACTGACCTTCCCAATGTCCAACAACAACTTCAGTCCTCCGTGGAGGCTGTGGTTATCGAGGTCTCCCCAGAATCACCACCTGTTCCTGGTATGTTAACAAGCATGGCCCCTTACAGGCCTGATAGATACATGATTTGTTTGACCTACACTGAGGCAAGGAAAATAAGTGTGAAATTTGTGTAGCCGCAATTCAAAATGAGGGGGAGGTTTTCTCCCATTGTTTACATTAAATTAGCCAGCGTTAGGTGACTGAAAAACAAAAAAGAGAAATCAAATAAAAATTGCACCACTTGATGATTAGCCCAGCAGCGTAGATTTGGCAAAAAAATTCACCTGATGTCTTCCTGTCTTTTCTCAGTCGATACTGCCAAAAAGGATATCGTTTTCCTCCTGGATGGTTCTGATGGCACACGGAATGGCTTCCCTGCCATGCTTGATTTTGTTAAGAGAGTGGTGGAGAAATTGAATGTAGGACCTAACAATGACCGTGTCTCTGTGGTCCAATACAGCAGAGATGCAGAGATCCATTTCTATCTGAACACATACACCACAAGACAGGATATTTTGGATACAGTCAGAGGGCTGAGACATAGAGGAGGCAGACCCCTCAACACCGGGGCGGCCCTCCAATACGTCAGGGACAACGCCTTTACAAACTCCTCCGGGAGCAGGCGCCTGCAAGGTGTTCCACAAATGTTGATCCTGCTAAATGGTGGAAGGTCTTTTGACAATGTAGATACCCCAGCCTCTGCTCTCAAACAGCAGGGTGTCTATGTGATAGGCATTGGCACAAGGAACTCTGACACTAGGGAGCTGCAGAAGATATCATATGACCCTAGTTCTGCTCTATCAGTGTCTGATTTCACTGACCTCCCCAGTGCCCAGGAACAGCTCTCCTCTGTAATGAACACAGTGCTAACCAGGGCCACGCCCATCACACCAAAAAAGCTGGTAAGAAAGTGACAGATTTTTATTTTCCAAGGTCATGGTAGGATGCAAATTGAACAGTATGACAGTGTATTTATTGTAGCTGAGGCAAGCCAGCAGCACTCTGAGAATACATTTGTTCCAGATTATACAGAGTACATTGTTAAATTCCAGGTTAGCTTTGGTCATCTGACTTTCACATGGAAAACATTTGACACATGAACCTGAACATGTCTGACATTTTTTATTCCCTAGTGGAGAGACAGCCAGCAGGAAAAGATATTGTGTTCTTGTTGGATGGATCTGATGGTACTAGAACTGGCTTCCCAGCTGTGAAAGACTTTGTCCAAAGAGTTGTAGAGACACTCAGTGTGGATGACAACAAAGACCGTGTCTCAGTGGTTCAGTACAGCAAAGAGCCAGCTGCCCAATTCTATCTGAACACGTACACCACAAAAGGCGACATCCTTGACACTGTCAGAGGATTGAGGCACAAAGGTGGAAGACCCCTCAACACTGGAGCAGCTCTCCAGTACTTGAGGGATAATGTCTTCACGGCCTCTGCTGGAAGCAGGCTCCAGGAAGGAGTCCCACAGGTCCTAGTTTTGATAAGTGGTGGAAGGTCTTTTGACAGTGTTGATGCACCAGCCTCTGCTCTCAAAGAGCTGGGTGTCTTGACCTTTGCAATTGGAACCAGGAGTGCTGATAGCAAAGAACTGCAGAAGATATCCCACGACCCCAGCTATGCACTAACTGTGTCTGAATTCACTGACCTTCCCAATGTCCAACAACAACTTCAGTCCTCCGTGGAGGCTGTGGTTATCGAGGTCTCCCCAGAATCACCACCTGTTCCTGGTATGTTAACAAGCATGGCCCCTTACAGGCCTGATAGATACATGATTTGTTTGACCTACACTGAGGCAAGGAAAATAAGTGTGAAATTTGTGTAGCCGCATTTCAAAATGAGGGGGAGGTTTTCTCCCATTGTTTACATTAAATTAGCCAGCGTTAGGTGACTGAAAAACAACAAAAGAGAAATCAAATAAAAATTGCACCACTTGATGATTAGCCCAGCAGCGTAGATTTGGCAAAAAAATTCACCTGATGTCTTCCTGTCTTTTCTCAGTCGATACTGCCAAAAAGGATATCGTTTTCCTCCTGGATGGTTCTGATGGCACACGGAATGGCTTCCCTGCCATGCTTGATTTTGTTAAGAGAGTGGTGGAGAAATTGAATGTAGGACCTAACAATGACCGTGTCTCTGTGGTCCAATACAGCAGAGATGCAGAGATCCATTTCTATCTGAACACATACACCACAAGACAGGATATTTTGGATACAGTCAGAGGGCTGAGACATAGAGGAGGCAGACCCCTCAACACCGGGGCGGCCCTCCAATACGTCAGGGACAACGCCTTTACAAACTCCTCCGGGAGCAGGCGCCTGCAAGGTGTTCCACAAATGTTGATCCTGCTAAATGGTGGAAGGTCTTTTGACAATGTAGATACCCCAGCCTCTGCTCTCAAACAGCAGGGTGTCTATGTGATAGGCATTGGCACAAGGAACTCTGACACTAGGGAGCTGCAGAAGATATCATATGACCCTAGTTCACTCTATCAGTGTCTGATTTCACTGACCTCCCCAGTGCCCAGGAACAGCTCTCCTCTGTAATGAACACAGTGCTAACCAGGGCCACGCCCCACACCAAAAAAGCTGGTAAGAAAGTGACAGATTTTTATTTTCCAAGGTCATGGTAGGATGCAAATTGAACAGTATGACAGTGTATTTATTGTAGCTGAGGCAAGCCAGCAGCACTCTGAGAATACATTTGTTCCAGATTATACAGAGTACATTGTTAAATTCCAGGTTAGCTTTGGTCATCTGACTTTCACATGGAAAACATTTGACACATGAACCTGAACATGTCTGACATTTTTTATTCCCTAGTGGAGAGACAGCCAGCAGGAAAAGATATTGTGTTCTTGTTGGATGGATCTGATGGTACTAGAACTGGCTTCCCAGCTGTGAAAGACTTTGTCCAAAGAGTTGTAGAGACACTCAGTGTGGATGACAACAAAGACCGTGTCTCAGTGGTTCAGTACAGCAAAGAGCCAGCTGCCCAATTCTATCTGAACACGTACACCACAAAAGGCGACATCCTTGACACTGTCAGAGGATTGAGGCACAAAGGTGGAAGACCCCTCAACACTGGAGCAGCTCTCCAGTACTTGAGGGATAATGTCTTCACGGCCTCTGCTGGAAGCAGGCTCCAGGAAGGAGTCCCACAGGTCCTAGTTTTGATAAGTGGTGGAAGGTCTTTTGACAGTGTTGATGCACCAGCCTCTGCTCTCAAAGAGCTGGGTGTCTTGACCTTTGCAATTGGAACCAGGAGTGCTGATAGCAAAGAACTGCAGAAGATATCCCACGACCCCAGCTATGCACTAACTGTGTCTGAATTCACTGACCTTCCCAATGTCCAACAACAACTTCAGTCCTCCGTGGAGGCTGTGGTTATCGAGGTCTCCCCAGAATCACCACCTGTTCCTGGTATGTTAACAAGCATGGCCCCTTACAGGCCTGATAGATACATGATTTGTTTGACCTACACTGAGGCAAGGAAAATAAGTGTGAAATTTGTGTAGCCGCATTTCAAAATGAGGGGAGGTTTTCTCCCATTGTTTACATTAAATTAGCCAGCGTTAGGTGACTGAAAAACAACAAAAGAGAAATCAAATAAAAATTGCATCACTTGATGATTAGCCCAGCAGCGTAGATTTGGCAAAAAAATTCACCTGATGTCTTCCTGTCTTTTCTCAGTCGATACTGCCAAAAAGGATATCGTTTTCCTCCTGGATGGTTCTGATGGCACACGGAATGGCTTCCCTGCCATGCTTGATTTTGTTAAGAGAGTGGTGGAGAAATTGAATGTAGGACCTAACAATGACCGTGTCTCTGTGGTCCAATACAGCAGAGATGCAGAGATCCATTTCTATCTGAACACATACACCACAAGACAGGATATTTTGGATACAGTCAGAGGGCTGAGACATAGAGGAGGCAGACCCCTCAACACCGGGGCGGCCCTCCAATACGTCAGGGACAACGCCTTTACAAACTCCTCCGGGAGCAGGCGCCTGCAAGGTGTTCCACAAATGTTGATCCTGCTAAATGGTGGAAGGTCTTTTGACAATGTAGATACCCCAGCCTCTGCTCTCAAACAGCAGGGTGTCTATGTGATAGGCATTGGCACAAGGAACTCTGACACTAGGGAGCTGCAGAAGATATCATATGACCCTAGTTACACTCTATCAGTGTCTGATTTCACTGACCTCCCCAGTGCCCAGGAACAGCTCTCCTCTGTAATGAACACCGTGCTAACCAGGGCCACGCCCATCACACCACCAAAAACTGGTAAGAAAGTGACAGATTTTTATTTTCCAAGGTCATGGTAGGATGCAAATTGAACAGTATGACAGTGTATTTATTGTAGCTGAGGCAAGCCAGCAGCACTCTGAGAATAAATTTGTTCCAGATTATACAGAGTACATTGTTAAATTCCAGGTTAGCTTTGGTCATCTGACTTTCACATGGAAAACATTTGACACATGAACCTGAACATGTCTGACATTTTTTATTCCCTAGTGGAGAGACAGCCAGCAGGAAAAGATATTGTGTTCTTGTTGGATGGATCTGATGGTACTAGAACTGGCTTCCCAGCTGTGAAAGACTTTGTCCAAAGAGTTGTAGAGACACTCAGTGTGGATGACAACAAAGACCGTGTCTCAGTGGTTCAGTACAGCAAAGAGCCAGCTGCCCAATTCTATCTGAACACGTACACCACAAAAGGCGACATCCTTGACACTGTCAGAGGATTGAGGCACAAAGGTGGAAGACCCCTCAACACTGGAGCAGCTCTCCAGTACTTGAGGGATAATGTCTTCACGGCCTCTGCTGGAAGCAGGCTCCAGGAAGGAGTCCCACAGGTCCTAGTTTTGATAAGTGGTGGAAGGTCTTTTGACAGTGTTGATGCACCAGCCTCTGCTCTCAAAGAGCTGGGTGTCTTGACCTTTGCAATTGGAACCAGGAGTGCTGATAGCAAAGAACTGCAGAAGATATCCCACGACCCCAGCTATGCACTAACTGTGTCTGAATTCACTGACCTTCCCAATGTCCAACAACAACTTCAGTCCTCCGTGGAGGCTGTGGTTATCGAGGTCTCCCCAGAATCACCACCTGTTCCTGGTATGTTAACAAGCATGGCCCCTTACAGGCCTGATAGATACATGATTTGTTTGACCTACACTGAGGCAAGGAAAATAAGTGTGAAATTTGTGTAGCCGCATTTCAAAATGAGGGGGAGGTTTTCTCCCATTGTTTACATTAAATTAGCCAGCGTTAGGTGACTGAAAAACAACAAAAGAGAAATCAAATAAAAATTGCATCACTTGATGATTAGCCCAGCAGCGTAGATTTGGCAAAAAAATTCACCTGATGTCTTCCTGTCTTTTCTCAGTCGATACTGCCAAAAAGGATATCGTTTTCCTCCTGGATGGTTCTGATGGCACACGGAATGGCTTCCCTGCCATGCTTGATTTTGTTAAGAGAGTGGTGGAGAAATTGAATGTAGGACCTAACAATGACCGTGTCTCTGTGGTCCAATACAGCAGAGATGCAGAGATCCATTTCTATCTGAACACATACACCACAAGACAGGATATTTTGGATACAGTCAGAGGGCTGAGACATAGAGGAGGCAGACCCCTCAACACCGGGGCGGCCCTCCAATACGTCAGGGACAACGCCTTTACAAACTCCTCCGGGAGCAGGCGCCTGCAAGGTGTTCCACAAATGTTGATCCTGCTAAATGGTGGAAGGTCTTTTGACAATGTAGATACCCCAGCCTCTGCTCTCAAACAGCAGGGTGTCTATGTGATAGGCATTGGCACAAGGAACTCTGACACTAGGGAGCTGCAGAAGATATCATATGACCCTAGTTACACTCTATCAGTGTCTGATTTCACTGACCTCCCCAGTGCCCAGGAACAGCTCTCCTCTGTAATGAACACAGTGCTAACCAGGGCCCCGCCCGTCACACCCAGAAAAACTGGTAAGAAAGTGACAGATTTTTATTTTCCAAGGTCATGGTAGGATGCAAATTGAACAGTATGACAGTGTATTTATTGTAGCTGAGGCAAGCCAGCAGCACTCTGAGAATACATTTGTTCCAGATTATACAGAGTACATTGTTAAATTCCAGGTTAGCTTTGGTCATCTGACTTTCACATGGAAAACATTTGACACATGAACCTGAACATGTCTGACATTTTTTATTCCCTAGTGGAGAGACAGCCAGCAGGAAAAGATATTGTGTTCTTGTTGGATGGATCTGATGGTACTAGAACTGGCTTCCCAGCTGTGAAAGACTTTGTCCAAAGAGTTGTAGAGACACTCAGTGTGGATGACAACAAAGACCGTGTCTCAGTGGTTCAGTACAGCAAAGAGCCAGCTGCCCAATTCTATCTGAACACGTACACCACAAAAGGCGACATCCTTGACACTGTCAGAGGATTGAGGCACAAAGGTGGAAGACCCTCAACACTGGAGCAGCTCTCCAGTACTTGAGGGATAATGTCTTCACGGCCTCTGCTGGAAGCAGGCTCCAGGAAGGAGTCCCACAGGTCCTAGTTTTGATAAGTGGTGGAAGGTCTTTTGACAGTGTTGATGCACCAGCCTCTGCTCTCAAAGAGCTGGGTGTCTTGACCTTTGCAATTGGAACCAGGAGTGCTGATAGCAAAGAACTGCAGAAGATATCCCACGACCCCAGCTATGCACTAACTGTGTCTGAATTCACTGACCTTCCCAATGTCCAACAACAACTTCAGTCCTCCGTGGAGGCTGTGGTTATCGAGGTCTCCCCAGAATCACCACCTGTTCCTGGTATGTTAACAAGCATGGCCCCTTACAGGCCTGATAGATACATGATTTGTTTGACCTACACTGAGGCAAGGAAAATAAGTGTGAAATTTGTGTAGCCGCATTTCAAAATGAGGGGGAGGTTTTCTCCCATTGTTTACATTAAATTAGCCAGCGTTAGGTGACTGAAAAACAACAAAAGAGAAATCAAATAAAAATTGCATCACTTGATGATTAGCCCAGCAGCGTAGATTTGGCAAAAAAATTCACCTGATGTCTTCCTGTCTTTTCTCAGTCGATACTGCCAAAAAGGATATCGTTTTCCTCCTGGATGGTTCTGATGGCACACGGAATGGCTTCCCTGCCATGCTTGATTTTGTTAAGAGAGTGGTGGAGAAATTGAATGTAGGACCTAACAATGACCGTGTCTCTGTGGTCCAATACAGCAGAGATGCAGAGATCCATTTCTATCTGAACACATACACCACAAGACAGGATATTTTGGATACAGTCAGAGGGCTGAGACATAGAGGAGGCAGACCCCTCAACACCGGGGCGGCCCTCCAATACGTCAGGGACAACGCCTTTACAAACTCCTCCGGGAGCAGGCGCCTGCAAGGTGTTCCACAAATGTTGATCCTGCTAAATGGTGGAAGGTCTTTTGACAATGTAGATACCCCAGCCTCTGCTCTCAAACAGCAGGGTGTCTATGTGATAGGCATTGGCACAAGGAACTCTGACACTAGGGAGCTGCAGAAGATATCATATGACCCTAGTTACACTCTATCAGTGTCTGATTTCACTGACCTCCCCAGTGCCCAGGAACAGCTCTCCTCTGTAATGAACACAGTGCTAACCAGGGCCCCGCCCGTCACACCCAGAAAAACTGGTAAGAAAGTGACAGATTTTTATTTTCCAAGGTCATGGTAGGATGCAAATTGAACAGTATGAAATTCTTTAAATGTAGGTCAGCTTTTGCAATGTTTTTCACCAATCTGTCAAGTGTCAGGAGCTCTTTTTTGTTTGGTTTTCACTCCTTTTTCTTTTGCTTTACATATATTTTCATTTTAACACAGCCACTTCCTGGAAAAAGAATATTCTTGACATTCACTTGTCAATTTATTTGTTTTCCTTGAAAGGTATTCTCTGAATAGTCTGTTTGGACCTCATTGATATGCACTTCATGCAACAAACACTTACAACTTTCTCAAGATTTATTAAAGCAATTTTTTTTTCTTCAGTTTTTGCACTGAACCAATGCCAACTAACTTCTGTCTTTTCTTTAAGTTTCCCTTTTCTTGCATTTTTGTGATCTTTTTAAAATAGGTTTTAACTATAGTTATCGAAAAAATCAATGTACTTTCAAATAGACATGTTATGGTCATAAGCCTTTACACTTTTGAAACAATAAGTCAAGGATGATCAAACTTCAAATGCTTCAATTAAATACAACACCATAAAAACAACAACCTGTTACAAACTCACGTCACCTTTCATGCCCATGCTTTCTATTTCCAGTAAGCAAGTATTTTCTCTTCCATCCCATCTTTTGCACACTGTTTTATTGTCCCTCTATCATTTTATATGTTTGTGCAAAATTAAATGATGTCTGCACGACAATAAATAGATTTATTGTCCAATGCACAATTTTTTCTGCATTCTCAAGACAAAAGAGTGAGCATTTCAATGTCAAAACAGAAATGAGCAATTCCTCCCCTTTTCGTCTTGAAATAAAATAACTTGCTGTATTAGCTGTACAGCCTAGTTGCCATCTCAATTGTATATTAAAGCATTATGTAATGTTTTATCTTTGAATGGGAAGTACATTATTTTTTACTTGTATTTGAGAAAATTACCTGCAGATATTTTCGTCATTAGAAAATGTTCCTTTTCAAACGTGATGTCTTGGTGGCTGACATTTGATGTAATGAGTAAGCTCTTACATCCAAGAGACAAGAGTTAATAGAAGTCTTTACACATGGACAGCAGCATTTGCACTAAATTAAGCTGTCTGGTTAACACACTGACACCTTGTTATATTTCTTAAATTAATGTAAATTAAAAATAATAATCTAGTTTATAACTGGAATAATTACATTTAGGGGTATACTCACAGTAAGCCCAGTTGCTCCACACTGTGCTAAAGCCCAATTGCCCATCCCATGCCCCTGCTGGCCTGCACTGGTATTGCTCCAGCACTAAGTGAGCCTGAGCTTTGTTACCTCTTGACATAACGTTGTAATACTACCCATGCATGGCTTTACTTGCTCATGAAGCGTGCTAGGTTAACAAGACAGGCAGACAGAAAGCCTCTTCTATCTGTGCCCGTGAAAGGAGACAAGAAATTGTAATGTGGTAGACCACAGAATGGTGCACCCATACTAGTGAACTTGACTTTGGGGGTCAAAACATGGTTGGGCACAGTACGGCTTGCCTAGTGTGAGTGCACCCTAAATTGTATTTCAGTATCTTTAGGTGTGAGAAATATACCCTAACTGCTTCTCTCAATGTATTTTCCCAGTCTTCTGTGCACTGTAATGAGGGTTAAGGTTATTTTGTATGTTCAGGGGGTCTCCTGTATTTTTGCAGACATTTATTATGTACTTGACCCTTTTTTTAAGCAATTAACCTTTCATATATATCAATCCAGATTGAGGTTGCAAGAAGTCACTACTCATCATGGTGTAGTGCCCACTTTCTGTGAGAACAGCTAAGAATATTGTTTCACTTAAAGGAAATTACACACAATTGTCCTTATAATAAACCATATTTATATTGTTAAGCAACAGACTGGCAGCTGATCTTTTTTCCAACTGATTCGTAAAGGCTGACATACATCCATACAGCCTTGTATATTTGTTGCCTTTATCCTTCGTTAGTCGGGTTCAATATCTTGATCATATCTGTAGCAAAAAAATAATTTACCTTTTCTCTGTCTCTTCTAGCTGAGACCATGGGCCCCCGGAAAGATGTTGTTTTCCTCGTCGATGGATCTGATGGTGTTGGACGGGAATTTCCTATCATCCAGGAGTTTATCCGCAGAGTTGTTGAGAGTCTCAACGTTGGTGAGGACAAGATCCGGATAGGTGTGGTCCAGTATGGTGACTATGCTCAGGCTGACATGTATCTGAACACACATACAACCAAAGAAGGTGTTTTGAACGCCGTCAGGGGACTGAGACAGCGAGGAGGAAGACAACGTAACCTGGGACAGGCCTTGCAGTTTGTAAGCCAGGATGTCCTTACAGCAGCACGTGGTAGCAGGAAGGGAGAGAATGTGCAACAGTTTCTTATTGTCGTCTCCAGTGGGTCTTCCACAGATGACATCAGACAGGCTGCAACTTCCCTCAAACAATCAAGAGTTCTCCCCTTCAGCATTGGGACCAGAGATGTTAACCCTGCAGAGATCCAGATGGTGTCATATGTGCCAAACTTTGCCTACCCTGTAGATGACCTCCCTGGCTTGTACACGGTCCAAGAAAACTTGATAAACACTCTCACTGAGTTGTCAGATGATGACATTGCTGGTTTGCGTCCAGTATTAACCTATGACGGTAATTTATTTTGTCTAAGATATCATTTACATCCAAAACACATCTTCATACAACCCATTTGTATGACTTCAGTAATTGTTAAAACATTTTTTAAAGTTCTACTCTTAAAGTTAACTGTTTTGTAATCATAATTTGTTCCTTTTTGTCTTTCTGAGCAGTAATCACTTCGACACCCAGAGAAGGAGAAAAGAGGGATGTTGTATTTCTGATTGATGGCACGACTGCTGTGCGTAGTGAGTTCCCTGCCATCCGGGAAATGATTTCAAGAGTTGTGGAAAAGCTGGATGTAGGATTGGATAGGGTTCGAATTTCAGTGGTACAGCACAGTGATGATCCAAAATTAGAATTTCTTCTGAATGAATTCTCCACCAAAGACGAGGTCCGCCAGGCTGTGACGAAACTCCGTAGCAGAGGTGGAAACAGTCTAAATACAGGCCGTGCTCTTGAATATGTCGGCAAAACTATCTTCCAGAGGTCAGCAGGAAGTCGTATTGAGGATGGTGTGCCTCAGTTCCTCATTCTAGTAACAGGTGGCAAGTCATCAGATGATGTATCCATTGCAGCAGACCAACTGAAGAAAAGCCAGGTTGCACCTGTCGCCATTGGATCAAGAAATGCGGACGCCAATGAACTGAAACAGATTTCCCTGAAGCCTGAGCTTGTATATAGAGTTGACAATTTCAGGCAGCTTCCAGGAGTTGAAACACAGCTGATTGATTCAGTCAAAACAATAACAACAGCTGATATAATCAGTAGCTATGTTCCTCCCACAGTGATCATAGGTAAGAAATACTATCTTTGTTTTTTACCTTAAGAAAATTTGGATTTAAAAAGTATTTAACAAGAGAGACCTAGGAAAATCATACATTCAAATACATGGTGGCCTTCAAGAAAAAAAAACATATCTCTGTCACCACATTATTTATGATACCACACATTCTTAATGGTCTATGCTCAATATTTAAGTCATATGTTTTAAAATCTTAAAGCGATAAACATATGCATCATTTGCTTCTAAGAATTGTTGTTTTTATTTCTTACATATTCCTTAAAATAATAATGTTGCACTGGTGATGCACTGATAGGAATAGGATAGGAACTACTTGTAAGTTATACATGTTATTAACAATTAGATATAATGTCAAGCAACCACAATAACATACTGGTACATTTCACTAGACATTACAATATAAAAGATGTACATACTGTTGTAAAGTTATTTTACAATGGTAAAAAAAAAAATGGTGCACATGTCTTTCAGTGCTAAAATTCAAATAATGTAGATTTATTTTTTCTTGTACGTCCCTTATTTGCAGAAACCCTAGATCTTGGGAAAAAGGATATTATCTTCCTCATTGATGGCTCAGAAACTACAGGCCCTGCTGGCATTGCTCATATCCGTGACTTCATCCTCAACATTGTTCAACAACTTGACGTGCAACCTGATCGAGTGCGTGTGGCTGTTGTCCAGTATGGAGACAGAGCTAAAACTGAGTTCTCTCTTAACTCATACAACAGCAAACAAGCTGTTACCTCTGCTATCAAAATGCTTCGTCAGATGGGTGGCCGGTCATCAAATTTGGCTGACGCTATTGAGTACGTCATTCAGAATGAGTTAAAGCCCTCAGCAGGCGTCCGTCTGTCTGACGCCTCCCAGCATCTCGTGGTTCTCACAGGTGGACGTTCTCCCCAAGATGTTTCCATCTATGGACCTCTGCTAAAGGGGTCCCGGGTCAATTGCATTGGTGTTGGTACTGGTGGTGCTAACACTAAGCAGCTTACGCAAATTGCAACAACCCCAGAGGATGTCCTTCAGGTCGCATCATTCCCAGGTCTGCCAGGAATCAATAGCAAGTTAATTGCCAGGTTGAGTGGAAGTCTCCCTAAGGAAATAACCCCTGATTATGAGGATCCTAGTAAGTCATTCATACTTACACATATATATACACATTAATAATAGTCTTAGAAAGCATGAAATCTAATGAGTCACTTTTTCTCTTTTCATCCTTCTTTACCTGTGTGTTTTCGATATCTCATCTTCCCTCCCCTAGCATTAGGCTTGCCTCCTCCCAAAAAGGCAGATATTGTGTTTTTAGTGGATGGCTCCATCAACTTGGGCAGAGCCAACTTCGATGAAGTGATGAATTTTATCAACAACCTGGTCGATCTGTTCTTCACTGAAAGAGACAACCTGCAAATTGGTCTGGCACATTATGCTGCAGATGTGACAGACACCTTCTACCTCAACACTTACAAAAACAGGCAAGACATTATGGACGCCATTCTCCGAACAGAGTACAAAGGTGGACAAAGACTCAACACTGGTGCAGCTATTCGCCATGTTCAAGATGTGTACTTCACCAAAGAAAAAGGCAGTAGGATGGATGAGGGTGCTCCTCAGATCCTGATGGTTATCAATGGAGGGCGCATGGCTGATGACGGCAAAACAGCAGCCCTTGGTCTGAAGAAAAAGGGTGTGAGGATTTTTGCGGTGGGAGTGGGAGACACTGCAAATGAATTAGAAGACCTTGCAAGCGAGTCCTCCACTGTCGCTCGATCCAGCACCTTCCAGGAACTGTCCGAACTCAACGAGCAAATCCTGGAGACTCTGGATGATGAAGTGAAGGGGAAGCTGTGTGTTGGTTTAGATGAAGCTCCTAAAGGTAAAAGACAAAGTAACATTTGCCCTGACGACCATATTGCTAAGCTTTTCACATTTCACTAACATCTTTGAATCTATTGGTTGAGTGTTAAGATGTTTGTTGCAAAAGTTCACTTAGTTAAAACTGCCCTCTGTTTTACAGCCTGCAACATTGAGGTGTTGGTGGGCTTTGATGTTTCTGCCCAGAATGTCTTCAGTGCTCAGACCAACCTCCAGAGCAAGATGGGTGGTATCCTGCAGAGAATCTCCAAAATGGCAGGAATAAGTTGCTCATCAGGGCAGATTCCCTCTGTGCAAGTTGGCATGTTGGCCATGGACTCCACCTCTAAACTCACCCAGCTGGACTTCACAGACAATGCTGATCAGCTCTTTGAGGGCTTCAGAGCCCTGCGAAGTAGTGGTCCATTTGTCCTTGACGGCAGGACAATCACAGCTTACACCAACAGATTCAAAGCCAGACAGGATAATGTTGTCAAGGTTGGTTTCTGAAAAAGTTCAAACTAAAGATATCACGAGATGACAATGAGCCATTCTGAGCTTTTTAAAGATTGTTAATAGTCAAAATTGAGCTGTCCTGTATTCCACCTTCTGTTGGTGTTGCATATTTGCCCTTCGTTATAACAGCTTGCGTTGTATATCTATACTATTGCATTTTGCTGTCATCCCAGTCAGTAAGGGACTGTATGAGGGAATCCAAATTGTCACACATGGTCTGACAAATTATTTTCAAACAAATTCTCTGATAACGCTTTTTATCTTTCATCATAAGGCAGTGTAAAAAGATTTAGCTAGAAGCTTCTAATTTTTTATCCCTTTTGATGATGGCAGGTCAAACACACATTGATAAGGCCAAAATTACATTTGATAACTGTCTAGTTGAGGAAACCATTGACTGATATTTATCTATATTCTTGTGCATAGCATCTCAGTTAAGTCTTAAATTTCCCAGCTTGTATTTAATTCATATCATGTCGCAAAAACATTTTAATAGTTTTGAATCAAGACCTCCAATATTTGGATCAAGTAGATGATAAAATATAGAGCAGAAATAATAATAATTTTTAGTCTAATAAGGTCTATAAAGATAAAATGATCAATTCAGACTCAGATGACTACATCTATTAGAAAAACATTTTATAAGTCTATAAGAGTTTTTCATGAAATCCCTAAATACAACATGCATATTTATCATAGGAAAATGTAAGGACATGTGAAACTAAATTGTCTTTATCCCAAAGGTTGTCATTCATCTGACTGATGGTCTTGATGCCCCATATGCAGAAATTAAAAGTCGAGTGGAGGAGCTTCGTCAATCAGGTAAAAAGATAAATCTGTTGAAAAAGATCCTTGGTGACAGGCTGTAGGCTGTACTTAAACCTTTGTGAAACTCTGAAAGCTTTTTGAAACAAAAAAAGGAGGATTAGGCTGTGTTTGTAAAATCTTGTGTGTCCGAAACAGGAGTGAACAGTTTCATCCTAGTTGGGCTGGAGCGGGTGCCCAAATTTGAGGAGGCTGTGTCGTTAGAATTTGGTCGTGGATTCAGGTACACCAGACCTCTACGGGTCAATATCATGGACTTGGACTATGAGCTAATGGAAGAACTGGTGAGTACTAACCAGTTAGACAGAATACTATTATGAGTTTCTCCCCCCCCCCCTTTTAGATGAAACAATATTGTTCTTCTTCTTGTCTGCACAGGACAACATTGCAGAGAGGGACTGCTGTGGCGTGCCATGCAAATGTACCGGCACCAGAGGAGACAGAGGAGCAGTTGGACTCCCAGGATCTAAGGTATCCCATGTCAAAAAACATTTATAGATGTTTGATGTATGCAAACTAATACAAAGACTTTCATGTGATAATACTGTGTTGTGTTGTCTTTCAGGGTGGTCCAGGATCTGCAGGAAGCCAAGGACATCCAGGAGATGAGGGTGGACCTGTATGTTTGAATGCTTTCACAGCCTGACATTATTTCTCTTACACACTTTTGCAGTCACATGCCCAGATCTAAAACTGCTGTATAACGACATTGTTCTCAAATTAAACCACATCATGTTTGTTCATTTTAAACTCCTCCAGTCATGTTCATTCATTGTCTTTATTGTGTGATGACAGGGAGAGAGAGGTCCTCCTGGTGTGAATGGAACTCAAGGTTTCCAGGGATGTCCTGGACAGAGAGGTCTCAAGGTAAAGATGTTATATTAAACATTTCCGACTTTAAATTGTAAACATCTTTTAAATTAAATATAATGTTATAACACTATTTTTGTTTCCCACTGTTCAGGGGTCTCGTGGCTATTCAGGAGAAAAGGTGCGTGTTATTCTTGTTTTTTTTACTCCTAGATAAAGCTGTCTAAATACAGACTTTTGCCATGATAACCTAAACCACTTACATCATGTTGCAGGGTGAATTTGGAGAAATTGGGCTCGATGGAATCAATGGAGAAGAGGTATGTGTTATATTACATCTTGTCTGAAGTCTTGTGGCAAGCACTCTGATTTATGCACGATGGGTGGCTTTAATTGAAATCTGCTGTTTGCTTTCAGGGAAAAAGTGGAGTGGCTGGATCCTCAGGAGACAGAGGAAATCCCGGAAGAAGAGTGGGTTTAATTTTCACTTTTTTATGTTGAGTGCTGATAAATGCTAACTAAACACCTTTATTGCTTTCAGGGTCCCAAAGGTATCAAAGGGCACGGAGGAGATAGAGGAGAAGTGGGAATCAGAGGAGACCCTGTGAGTATGATGAGGACTCAACTCTTTATTTATTTATATATACAGCACTTATATACACAAAACACAGTCGATCCAAAGTGCTGAACAGCGCAGATAGACAAAAAAAAACAAGCATCAGAAAGTAACAGACAAGAACAACAATCAAAATGAAAGAACAAGTAACAATTAGATACAGTGTAACACAAAACTTACAGAGTTGTGGATCCCTGAGCTTGACAAGCAAGTTATTGAAGATTGAAGGCAGTAGAGTAGAAATATGTTTTATGGTGATTCTTAAAAACACCAATAGCGGATGAGAGTTGGACGTTTGGGGTTAGAGAGTTCCACAGTTTTGGTCCAGCAACAGAAAAAGCTCGATCCCCATAACACCTTGTTCTGGATATAGGCATAGACAGAAGGTTTTGTGTAGATGACCTTTGATCTCTTACTAGCTGATATGGGGATAGGAGTTCTGAAAGGTAAGCAGGGGCAAGTCCTCTTAACACTTTGAACACACAGTCAACAGTATTTTAAAATCAATCCTTAGCTTGACTGGGAGCAGGTGTAAGGAAACAAGAATTGGAGTGAAGCCATCTCTTTGTTAAAACTCTGGCTGCTGAATTTAGTATGTACTGAAGACGGGATGGCCATGACTGGTTTTAGGGCCATTTACTGTTTTGATTGAAAGCCATTTGTAAAGGTACATTTTTTAAATACATGGATATCTGAACAGATCTAGACTAAAGCATAGCAACACCGTGTGCATTCATTGCTGAGTGTTTGTGCATACACAGCTGTGCATGTCAGATTGGAAGTCAGGAAAATTGTTTTTGAATTAATCTTTTAAAAAGGTTTTTAACAAGTGATTAGAGAATCGTTGGGTTACATTTTCCCGCTCTTTTGTGCAATGATTCCTAACCCTTTTCACTTGGAGCCCCACCCACCTATTTATATCTATTTTTTTTAAAAGCTGCCTCCCCCTCACAGCACTTCATGAAAAAAGTGATACATTGCTGTCACTAATTAAAATTACACAGTTAGAGTGTTATCATGAGTTTCATTAATTTATGCAAATAACATGTTGACAACCTCGGAGCAGACAAAGACTCTCGATCCCCCAAAGTTCTCTGGGGCTACTCCTTGTGGGCCCAGACTTGAGGTTGTGGACCAGTGCTTAAGAGGCTAGTGTTAGCAGTAGTAATTTAATGTAATTAAAGTCAAAATGTTTAACAGTAGCTCACTGTTCCCCTTAGATTCCTATTTGTATAGGAATGGAAGAAGTTAACTTTCTTTTACCCCACATTTTTTACAATTCACCACTGAAGTCACAAAACTATTTGGGCCATAAAAGGAAAAAATGTGCAAGCTTTTATTTTGTTCTTTAGTGTACTCTGGTCTTGGTCAATGAATAAAAAAATCCTTACACGTTACCAACAAAAGAATGAGCTGTTCTTTCATTTTTGTCTTTGTTAATGATAGGTTGGGTCTCATGTGTATTCCAGGAAGCATCATTGCCAAATATTCAGTTATGGTTTCAATGTTTTCATTTTGAATCTATTCAACTAAACTTGAATAAATTTGTTTTCAGATTATCTTTATTATGGATTGTTGCCCTCTAAGAAAGAAAAAGCTGGACTCTGTCTTTTTTAAGGCAGATAAACTAGCTGGGTGACTGATGAGCAGTGTCAACAAAGCCCAGATTGTAGTTTCCCATTAATATCACATAATCACATTCATTTTTATTTTTGTTTTTTTTTAACCTGTGAAGTGCATTATCATATTTTTTTATAAAATAGTTTTAACTACTTTTCCAAGCCCCCTTTTTTTAACCTTTAAGTTAATAAAACAACATTTATTTCAGGTCAATTTTTCTTGTGAATCGTTTACATTGTTTTTTATTTACATTCTGTCTGTTTTATCTGGAAGAATCACCATTTCTCCTCCAGACAATTGTTTAGTTACGTATTATATGAATGTGTTAACATGCAGCTGGAAGTAGAAAAATATTTGAAAAAGTTATTTCTGTCCGATAGGGTACAAGTGGACTAGATAACAACCGTCCAGGACCTAAAGGAGACCCCGGTGATGCAGGACCTGCGGTAAAATCCCTCTTCACACATTTAATTGCAGTAGTAAAAAAAAAAAAGAAATCTCACAAATGCATTTACAGTAATTTATTATTCTATTAGCAGTTTAGCATTACATATTTGTTTGGGTTTGATTTCACTGTTGTTTCTGCTGTGAACTCATAGGGAGAGCCTGGTGAGGATGGAAAGAGGGGCGGCCCCGGTGAACTTGGAAGAAGGGTAAATCATTTTTCTATTTGTAAACTATTGATAGAAACATACTTCCCACAGCTTTATCTTAATTAACACTTATCTTTGCATCCACCCCATTAGGGATCTGATGGCAGAAGAGGCTCACCTGGACTGGCTGTAAGTCTTTTCCTGGTTTATAGCATAAATCATTCATCACTTACTGCAGAAAATATTGTATACAATAATTACATTTGTTATTAAAGGGAACTCCTGGCAAGCCCGGTGGTGATGGCGTTCAGGGAGAGCCTGGAATTGCTGGATCTAGAGTAAGTTTGTCATTCCTGTTAATACTTATCTTTGCTGCATTTGCAACATGACATATTGTTATGAATGGACTGTGAATGTCGTTCTTATACAAGTAGAAATGAGCCGACATTCTTTGCTTGTGAGTTGGAAGTTCAGCTTTCATGTGTAAGACACTCTCTGGTACGGCTTTTTTTAAGGGCCCACCAGGACCAAATGGTGCACCAGGACCCAGAGGAGAAGATGGAAACCCTGGACCAAGGGTAAGTGCACCAAATTTATGCATTTAATGTTTGCAATATCTGCAACATATAAAGCACAGCTTAGTTACTAAGAATGGACTTTTAAGGAGATGAGCTGTTCATATCTCCCACAAGAAATGAAACGCACTGCAAATAGGCAAAACAACTGCATAAGCATCAAACATGCTGCAAGTACAGAAACAAAACTTAAGTCAAAAACATACATACTCATACTAAAGATGGAATTATTGTCATGATCACTGGAAAGGTTTAGTTATTTTCACCTTAAAAATATTGTTGCACACTGACCACCTTGTCTCAGCAGACAGTATTCATTTTATTATTCGACATTTTTTGCAGTCAGGCTCATTTTCATAGAAAGGTGCAGGGGCGTGTCCAGAGGGGTGACATTGGCCCCCCCTTAGAATCTGATTGGCCAACCCCAGGTGCCACCCCAAATTCCAAATCTATGATTGGCTATTTGGCTAATCAGAGGTGGGGCTTAAGATGGAATCAACTATTTTCGCGGTTTTCAACAGGCATACTTTGGTTTTTTCATACAAATTTCCCAACAACAACTTGTGCATACTGTCTAATTTGCAATGGACCTACTTGGCAATAAATGTATTTTTGTGAGTTAGACAGTGTACACGAGTTTGAATGCAATTTCCTTCGTACTTTAAATTGTGACTTTGCACATCTTAGTTACCGAATCAAGCCAAGAACATTTATATGTCACTGTTACTTACAGATACATATCATTAGTGGGGTTAAAAAGGGTAAAAAAATGAAATAAATTTGCGTGTGTGGGCCAACAAACTTCATGCCACCCCTGCATAACTGAGTGCCCCAGTTGGCCCACCACAGTTGAAAAAAGGTCTGGACACGCCCCTGGAAATGGGTCAATTTGGCCCCTAAGATAAGCATAGTGGCTCATTTAAATACTTGCAAAACAGCACCAGAGCATGGAGACACTATTTGCTGTGTGGTGAATTGAAAGAAGCATTTAACCCTTTATATGTGCTTTGTGAATGAGATGTTGTCTTCCTGTCTCATTTGCAACATTGAGAGACAAAAATGCATAAGATCAATTTTGACAAAAGCTTCTAACTTTTCTTTTATCCTAATTTCAACTTTTATTTTAGGGTCCCGGAGGTACCCCAGGTCCCGCTGGAGAAAAAGGAAGACGTGGAGCTCTTGGCCGCAAGGTACAATGAGTGCAATGCAATTCTCCACCACTTACAGTCTAACACTAAACACACATTCCTGATCCCAGTTCTCTCTCACATTACTGGACACACACGTGTAGTCTATTTGAGCAAACATGGGAGCACTATAAGAAAAACATTAAGACTCTGCTTGAGATCGGCTACAATAAAAACACATGATTGTAATTAAATCTATGGAAACTGACCTAAAAGTTTAAAGAAACATTTAGCTCTTTATGAAAATCATTGACATGTAGTTGAATCTTTACCTCTTTATGTCACCTTCTCTGTGTCTCTGTGCATTTGTAGGGGGAACCAGGAGAACCAGGACCTAAGGGTGTTATTGGACCTCTTGGTCCCCGTGGAGAGCCTGTAAGAATGAATCCACATCTTCTTTGTATTACCCTGATGTAAAGATGGTGAAAAACTAGCAAAATAAGATTGTTCTACTTCATATGAATATCAGAGATGCATTGTTACTTCTGTTGTTTAATGAAACCAAATGTCTATGAAACTTTAACAGATGATTTTTTTTATAATTGTCCTCATGGAAAGAAGACCTTTGAAGTGTCATGTGGGGTTTACAGCAGGACTTACTTTGTTTCATATCTGAGATCATGTGCTGTTTTTTTAAGATAGTGTGTGACATTGATGTTGGTACACGAAGTGGGGGAGGGTGTATTGCATGTTTCACTTTCAGTATGAAGAATGTTTGTTGCTGACTTATCGAGTCATTTTCTATTTTTTATAGGGTGAGGATGGTAGAGATGGCATGGGTGTTTCAGGGCCTAAAGGAAGAAAGGCAAGTACAATAAAATATTTTAATGTAAATATTGTAGACAGAAGATGTTTTGATTAGTTTGAAGGATACATTTGATTTTGCCTTCAGATATTTTGTTGTGTTTAGAAATTTCGATTTAGAGAATGTAAAAGTCACTGAAAATAAAAATAAAAACAGTTATATTATATATATATATTATTAAACAGTTGTTGAGATACGGTGGCCCTGAGAGCTCAATTCACACTAACTTAAAAGCACATGCAAGCGGAAAAAGAACAAGAAAATCATGAAAACATCTTCACCCAATGGAAACACAATCCAATACACACACACTGCAAGAAGCACAGACATCAAGAGATACTGCCTCCTGGCGACACTAAACTGATGAACTCGGCCTGACAAGAATGGGACACACCTGTTTTCTGGCCAATTAGAAGTTAATTTTCATACAACCGTTACACATTGCTGACTTTAGTAATTTCACAAGTCACACATGGCAACAACAAGCATCTCCCAGTGGCATGTGTAGTCACAAAACTTGATTCATGTCACATGTATGTCAAAAAAATTAACAAAAATTGCATCATATCCTCTACAGGGTGATGAGGGCTTCCCAGGATTCCCAGGACTGAAGGTAAAAGGAAAAACTCAAATGATGCAATCTATAATGACATGCTTTCGATTTTTGACATTTACATGAATTATCTCTGAATTTTAGGGAGCAGCTGGTGACATTGGTACCACTGGCGGACCTGGACCCAGAGGAAACCGTGGACAGAGGGTAGGTTTTCAGAGCCCAATTAGATTTGATAAATATGAAACTGTGTATATTGAATGAGACAGTGCATACTTTTTGGTATCTTTAACACTCATTATCACACTTTGCTTTAAAGCATAAATGCACACATGGTAAATGGTAAATGGATTTGAGTAGTTTGAGCATTTCTAGTCTTCTGACTACTCAAAGGGCTTTTATACCGCATGTCACACCTACACATTCACACCCTGATGGTAGAGGTTACTATGCAAAGTGACCATCAGAAGTAACTAATCCTATTCATACACATTCATACACAGCTGATGAAGAAGCGGGAAACTATATACTTATTACTTCTGACAGCTTATTTTTTATTTCAGGGTGTTTCTGGAAATATTGGTACACCTGGACAGAAGGGAGAAGTTGGATATTCTGGACCTTACGTAAGTAACTAATATTCTCCCCCGTTGCATATAAGTGGTATTGGTAAATGAACTTGAGCTTAAGCCTAAATAGCGCTTTTCTCTGACTACTCAAAGCGCTTTCACACTACAGGTCACACCTACACATTCACACACTGATGGTAGAGGCTGCTGTGTAGTGAGACCATCAGAAGTAACTAATCCATTCATACACATTAACACAGAGCCGATGAAGCAGCAGGAGCAATATGGGATTACGTTTTTTGCCCATGGACACATCGGACATGTGGCTGCGGATATAAGCTGTCCATAAAGATAATAGAGTATCATGGGTCACTATAACACTTATATTATATATGATAGAGTATTTTCTGCAGTGACACATTGTTAGTTTGTAAAAGTTTGACAAAATGATAGCTTGGATATTTGACGATATCTTTGAAGATATCTTACACAATGGCCCATAACATGTAACATTATAGCATAATATGTGTTGTTGTGATTAAGAATAAAAACTACCTTCAGACATGTTTTTATGTGTATCCTCTCATTGATTCCCATCACTGAAGAAATAACGGTAGTGTCTTTTTGGATTGTCAGCCAGCTGGTGCAACTCTTAACTCAACTATTATTCTTCTCTACAGGGTCAGAAGGGACCAAGAGGACCCGGTGTTGTGGTATGTGTCAATCATCAGGATGTTTAATAACCCTTTCGTATTAACAAGAGAAAAATAATATCAGTGGGATTAGTCTGGGGTGAAAATGTTTAAAATGTTTTGTCTTTTTTTCTTCAGCAATGTGACCTGGTCAAGAAAATCCGGGACAACTGTCGTAAGTGTGATTTGAGAATGATCAAAAATATCTTTAAATGTGAATGAAAGTAAATATTTTTTAAACGTTTAACTACATTTCCTATCCCCTTTTTGTTCATCAGCTTGCTGTTTCGGTGAGTACCTAATAATAGTGTTGATGACATTATAACCAATTGAATGACTGTTTATGTTCTGATCTACTTGTGCACAAAGAAACAATTCTCCATGTGTTCATCATTAGGTAAGCAGGAATGCCCGCTCTACCCCACTGAGCTGGCTTTTGCCCTGGATGTCTCTGAGACAAGTAGCCGCCAATACTTTAACACCATGCGTGACACAGTCCTGAGTCTGGTCAAAGACATCACCATCGCTGAGAGCAACTGTCCCAGAGGAGCTCGTGTTGCTTTGACCTTGTACAACAACGAGGTGACCACGGAGGTTCGGTTTGCTGATGCCATGAAGAAACGGGCCCTGGTGCGTCACATCGAAGGACTGCAGACCCTGCAGACCAAGAAGCAACGCAACTTGGAAATGGCCATGAGCTTTGTGGCCCAGAACACCTTCAAGAGAGTGCGCAGTGGTTTCCTTATGAGGAAGGTTGCCGTCTTCTTTGTTGGTGGCACAGCGGGACAGGCACAGGCAGTTACTAATGCAGCGATTCGCCTCCATGACGCTGGAATCGCAACGCTGTTCTTGGTCAGCCGGGATGACAGAGCACTCAGCAGAGCGCTGCAGGTAAAACAACACAGATACATCAAAGGAGACACTGTCTTTCTCAAAAAGAAATACAAAGGGGCAACGTTATAAAGGATGGATATAGCCATTAGTCTCACCATGAGATGCACATCAATACATTGGCTACTTTTCCAGTTTATGTTGACGCCCAGACTCGACACATGAGAAATCAGTTAGATAGAAAAGTTGACATGATCAGTGTAGACTACACAGGACAATCCATATAATGGTGCATTGGAAACTATTCATTCTTTGAAGATGCTAATAATAAAGCTATGAGCGCTCTTATTAGAGAAACAGATTTGTCATAGTATCACTTATTTACATAAAAATAGGCTATTAAAGGCAGGGTTTGGTAATTTTCTCCAGATCCACTTTGAGATCCACTAAGATTTCAGTTGAAATTGTCTTTAGGTCCTGACAGAAATTAATAACTCATGTGCTCTGAAAAAGGAACAAAGAAAATCCTTCATCTGTAGCAGTTGTAAGCCTGTATAAACTTCAACCAATGTCTGCCACGAGGTACCAATCTGATGAACTAATCACGCCTCCCTGTCTCCCTGCTCGTGCTCTACCCCTTACGTGCACTAGCCCACACTCAAAACGTGTCACTGATGACAGAGTTTATACTGTGAGTTTGCCGTCGGCCATTGTGAGTGGTAAAATAGTGTTATAATAAAGTGTAGTGTTTACTTAACGCTGAGTGACACATGAGACAATGTAGTTTCTACACAATGCAAGCAATATGCTGTAAGTGAGGGGCATGGCTTTTGAAGGAGCACAGAGGGGAGGGGGTGGGTGTAGATAGAGAACTGAGGGAATGCTACTTTCTAAATCATGCTAGTTTTCAAAAATGACCAAGCCTTTAACTTGTGCTTTGAGAACTAGTTGATTTATTTTATTTTAAGAGCAGGGCAGTGCTTTTCCCCCGCGGTGTGATGTATTTTTAAAATGTTCTGCTTCTTTTTGTTCTTCAGGTAAACAACACAGCACTGGCCCAGGTTATTGTCCTTCCTGCCCCTGGAAGTGCACAATACAAAACAGTCCTCCAAAAGATTATGAACTGCCATATCTGCTTCGGTAAGACCTCTGTTTCTTTGTTTTTTTATAGAAAATTGAGACTCTTCCTTATTTTACCAATCTTTAAGATTTATTAAATGCGTCCAATTTCCAAATATACAATGTTGGAAAAATAAAAATGTACATTGTGATGTTGGTTTGCTTTCAATCAAGTGTGTCATGTACAAAAAAAACAAGGGGGATAAAAAGGAATCCAAGGACTCTTATTCTTAGAGATACGTTACCTCCATGTGGAAAATAAAGACATATTATATCATGTGTTTTTCTTTTCTAGACCTCTGCTCTCCAGACCAAATCTGTGACTATGTTCCCCCACTGAGCACTCGAGATAGGAGGTCTTCCACATCAGATGTTGACATCGATATGGCCTTCATCTTGGACAGCTCAGAGTCTACCTACCCTACAGTCTTCACAGAGATCAAGCGTTACATCGCTCACATGGTAGAGCAGCTACAAGTGGCCTCAAATCCGACTTCATCTGCTCACCACGCCAGAGTGTCTGTGATCCAGCAAGCACCGTACGAGTTTATCCGCAACAAAACTGGCTTGCCCATCCATGTGGATATCGGTTTGACCGAGCACAGCTCATCTCAGGATATCATCAACGCTCTGCTGGAGAAGACACCTCAGCTAGAGGGTGGCAGGGCTTTGGCGGCGGCTATCGAATCCACTTTGGAGCAGGTGTTTGAGAAGGCTCCTCTCCAACGCGCCAAGAGAGTACTGATACTCTTTGTGACAGGCAGCGTGGCAGAGGAAGAGGAGCGACTGGTGCGTATCTCGACTGAGGCCAAGTGCAGAGGCTACTTCCTGGTCATCCTGGGTGTGGGTGAGAATATAGGTGCCAGAGATGCTCGTGTCTTGTCTCGCATGGTCAGTGAGCCTTCAGATGTCTTCTTCAAGCGGCTGGACAGCATCTCCTACTTTTACGACAAACACATTCAGAACTTTGGCCAGCTGCTTCCAAAGTATATCAGCAGTAAGTCGAAGACAGATCCATTTTATGTTCCCTTTTTGTGCACTTATTTGTTTGCTATTGTCACCTTAACACAGATTATGCATACGTCAAACCAAGCCAATCTGAGTGACATACTTTGTGCTGTTCTGTTTATTTTCAGTTGAAAATGCTTTCTACCTGTCCCCTGAAGTCTCCAAAAACTGCACCTGGTTCCAGAATGACCAGCCACTGAAAAACCCCTTCACAGCATCAAACCAAGAGGAGTACGCATCATGATATCTTTATGCCACTTCATTGATTGCCGTTCATTTTCTAGGACATATTGATGGTTTCATTCCTTATTTATTGGTGTATTTATAGGAAACATCAGAAACATCATGACAAACACCAAGCAGTCCATCAAAGAAAGCACCATGGTAAGACTGAAAGAAACTTTAACTACCAGTTCTTTGGTATTAGATGTTAGTTTGAGACTATGATTGGTTTGGACTACATGTTGCAGTTTTAAGGCTATGCACAGTTACCGAGTTCAGAATTATAAAAGGATCTGCACACTGAAAGCTGCCAGCAACTTAAATTCCAAGACCAATGTTTCGAAACCACCGATCTTCTTCAGGCATTGTCAAGACTTTACAGTCACCAAGAACTTCTTCTTGATGATCTCAAGATCGAAACATTGAAACAAGATCGAAAAGTTGCTGAGATCTTTTAATACTTTGGTGGATACTTTTTAAATTCTTAACTTTCTATGATTTTCTAATCAGCACACCCGTGTAAGATTTTCTTTTGCTGTGCGTACTCTACACCTTGTCTTGTCTTACCCACAGTAACTACACATGGGTGGAATTGAGCTCTTACTGCTGGCTAACCTTTGCTGTAAACATGATTTTAATATGCTTCACTCTGCCTTGACACCCCTTCATCTCATCCCCTCAGATCTCGACGAGCTTCACGTCTTCAACGTGACCTCCAACAGCTTGAAATTGCGATGGAGCAGCCCGGACCCGAAGCTTTTCGTCTACTTTGAGGTAGCCGTGACACGGTTGCAGGACCATGCCTTGGCACTGAAGACCAACGTCTCAGGCACAGAGCTCTCTGTGGACAACTTAGAGAGCGCACAAACTTACCATGCTGTGGTCACTGCATACACAGCAGAGGGTCAAAGTGTCTCCACTCGTAAAGGCATCGTCACCACTAGTGAGTCCAGAAATGTTTCTGTAGAAATGATTTGTGTTTCCTTTGTTTAAAACAAGATGGCATGGTATCTAGAAGAACTATAAGCAACACTTTATTTGCCATATAACAAATGGTGATGGTAACTTGACCACAGGAAGATAGGATTTTATCATTGTTTTGGAGCAAAAACTGTCAAAATATTCACTGAGTAGTAATTCAGGTGCTCTTTTATGCATTTTAGATTTAGTAATGGAAGCTGTGGAAATTTGCTGTTAGATAAAATGTCAAAGTCAAAACCCAAATATCTTACACTACAGTGATTAGTAGCTGTTCCATGACTACTGATTTCACTTTGACAGAATCAGCACCTAAGACGGAGCAAAGGCCAGCCAGCCCCGGAACCAGCACTGTAAATACAGCACCATTAGAGAAACCAGAAACTGGTAAGTGACTGTGCATTTATATGCATGTTTACGTGTAACATTTTACCATCTTTGTCCTTTAGTTGGTCATTTATGGACCTGCAGGATTTGGGGGGGCTGCAAATTGGAGAGGGAGGGCTACGTGAAAAAAAAAAAAGTTTCAATAATGATTTAGCCTCTGAGTGGAACATAAAAAAGCTGACCTCTGGCCTTAAAGACAACATAACAGCAACAGGCCACAATTAGATCCAAAAAAAGGATTAAGCAATGTTATGTTCTTTGAGCTTTCAGCAAACATCCATTAAATACTTGTGTATTTCCCTTGTGCATTAATGCTAATAGTCTCTATAAAGTTGTTTTTGGCTGGGATTCCAAGGCAGAGTGTTATAAATTAAACCTGATGGTTCAACATGCTCTGCTCTCGTGTGGCAACAGATCAACTGAAATCCTACAGAAAAGTGAGATTGATCGGCTCCTTAGGGCATGCCAAAACATGCTGTGGGTCATTCAGGACGAGTTGTGAAATCAACTGCACAAACTCATGGAGGCTTTGGTCGTAGATTTAATCTTTCAGTGATGACAAATAATGTTCAAGGGTTTCACTGCCTGCGTCACTTTGGGGAAAAATGCCTCTAATTAGGAGAAATGTAGGAAATCTATATATTTATCATATGAGTGAAGCTCAGCTGCTGCTTCATATGGAAAACACAAACACTCAGGCAGAACTGAGACTTAAAAGGATCCACTGTTTACTGACTGTACATTTGAAAAGTCAGTGAGAGTTTTACTTTGATACCCCACTGTGGGCATGAACAGGATTTCTACTAGCACATAATAAACTAACATATCCAGAAGCTACAGTTTTAACAGACTAACTTTTCAATTCACCTGTGAAAACCTTTAATTTAAACCTTTGTTTCTTTCCACTGACTTAATGTCAAGTTTAAAATAATAATAATACAAGAGCTCTAAGCCATTTGTAGCATGTAATGCCATTATATTGAATGCCTTTTCTTGAACTACCAGAATGGACCTATCAGCTCTGAACAGCACCACTTTTCCAATAAACAGTTAGTTATTTTAACAGCGCACAACAACTTCTGTATGCCTCATGATATGTAGTCGTACATTTATTCTTCACACAATGCATCCTCTCTCTTTGAATGTCTTCATCGCTGTTTTTGTTTTTTGTTTGTTTGTTTTTTGCATGTTCTAGTTAATGAACTTGCAGACCCATGCTCTCTTGACTTTGACGCTGGAAATCCGTGCAAAGACTATCAGGCTAAGTGGTTCTTTCACAGAAAGAGCGGGATCTGTACACAGTTCTGGTATGGAGGTTGCGGAGGCAATGAGAATAGGTTCGACACTGAGGCCCTCTGCTTGAAAAACTGCATGAGGTCATCAGGTGAGTGGTTGTCAGTGACAGGATATCTGAGGGGATGCACCGAACCCTGATGTGATGGTCTAAGATGAATGAGAATATCAAGCAAAACAACTAAAAACAACAATTGACTGTTTTCTAAATGTCAGTGTGTAGAACAACAGATTAAAAAAAAAAAAAAAAAGGCAAAAAGCGTGAACATGCTTGTCCATAAACCAGTTAATGATTTGGCAGTGAAAGATAAACTGTATATATAGTACCATCAATCACCCTTTGACTCCCACCCCAAGGAGGACTCCAGAACCCCCCTGATAATACCTCTCCTGAGTCCAAAGACACATCCTAACAGTTAAACAAGAGGACAGCATCCTCAAATTATGCTAGAGGGTTATCTAGAGAACATCATGTTTTAAAACGCTAAAACACCGGAAGAAAAGTAGGTGTGCACAGAAAACTTTCTGTTTGTGCGCACCATAAACCGTCCCGTGAGCGCAAGAATATTTCCTGAGCTTAAGAGAAGGTATTACATACACACGATCACTAGAAAGTGTTGCATGTGCACTATAGAGTCTGTGCCATTCTGTCTTACAGGATGAGCTTAATATTCTTTTGCCATCTCTGTAAGCTGGAGATTTTTCAAAGAGTTTCAAGTGCTCATATTATTCTTTCTCGTGAGAGCAACAACTTTCTCAACAAAGAGGAGTGATTAGTGTGTCTGGGAGGAATAATCGGAAAAGAGAAGCACACTGGCAATGTGAATAATGAAAATTGCATCTGTGTAAACTGCTGAGGTCATTTATATCCACATTTCACTGGGCACTCTTCAGAGTATAAACCTATGTTTTTAGCAGCTGTTCATTACAGCTGAAACCATCCTTTTTTTCTCCACAGTGCCAGAGCCTCAGCCAAATGTGCAGCAGGTTGAACAGGTGGAGATCCTCCCAGATCCCGGTGAGTCCTGAGTAATGACGCATTTCTTCAGACTCAGAGTATTATGTAACTGCTTCTTCCCTTCTTGCTCCTTTTTATAAAGACATGTAACTAGTGTGTGTGTGTGTGTGTGTGTGTGTGTGTGTGTGTGTGTGTGTGTGTGTGTGTGTGTGTGTGTGTGTGTGTGTGTGTGTGTGTGTGTGTGTGTGTGTGTGTGTGTGTGTGTGTGTGTGTGTGTGTGTGTGTGTGTGTGTGTGTGTGTGTGTGTGTGTGTGTGTGTGTGCGCGTGCAAATGCTAGCCTATTGGGAAGAAAGTACATTCCCTTTCACGTGAAGTGTATAAAAGAGTGAATGACCATTCTCAAAGCATGATGTCAATCAAACATTTCAGACCACCTTCAGACATATGGACACCAAGTGACCAATAGTATGAGTTACATCAATTTCTGCTGACTTTGCTCACATTGCAAAAACAATAAGTGCTTTGTATTCACTTGACATTAACCCTACTGCCCCATGGATGGTCTTAATGACAGACAGAGCAAGGAGAAAGCCAAGCGTGGAAAATGAGAAGGTTACGCTTCTGTCACAGTAGCGAGCCAAGTCATAACCGCAGAGAAAATGAATGGAAATCCTTGTTCACTGTTTGATTGTTATTTGGCAGCTGGCCCCGTACAAATAAAATAGTCAGGACCTCGTTATTGTTTGAGAAAATTGGCACAAGATATGTCCAGTAATACAAAGTTTACTCTGGACCCAAGATGCTAAGTCTCGTGATTATGGAGGAATCAAACTCTTATCGTTGGAAGTGCGGTTGTTCTTTGTTTTTTGTTTTAAACGTTTGTAAGCATCATACTGATTTCCTTTCCACCACACAAACACATTATCTCGTCATTATAAGCTATAATGGGAAGGTTGCTTTAACTGCTGATTGGACCCCTCATGTTGTTTACATATAGAGTCTAATATAAAACTAAAGAACGGCACCGTAGCACTTGTATCTTCTCTTCTAGTTGCATGAGCTCCTTTGCTTTCCCTAATTGTTTTTTATTTTTTTGTAGCTTCCCTCACAGCAGTGTCTTCAGCAGTGGACATCTGCAAGCTGCCCAAAGAGGAGGGAACTTGTGCCAAATTTGTCCTCAAGTGGCACTTCGATGCTCCCAGCAAGAGCTGCACACGCTTCTGGTACGGAGGCTGCGGAGGAAACCAGAATCGCTTCGAAACACATGAACAGTGTGTGAAGGCTTGTGGAAAACCAGGTACTTGTTTTGTTCATCGTAATCGTCTCCTCAGTTAATGCCTGTACACAGTAACGGGGAGTTATCCTTCACTCTTAAACATCATAAAAATAAGTAGCATGAAAAACAACATCTTTTTTGTGCGGTTTACTTTTGGTTTGGCAGTTCTCTGATAAAACAAGCCAAACAAAACAAGCTCTTATGAGTTGGCATGCGGTATAACAACCACCCAATTACCATCACCAGGGAGCAGAGAGGAATTACAGCACTTACATTGCACAGTGTGAATCATGCTGAAAAACTGCTGCACAATCTATCCCTGGCCTTTATCTATGAAGGCAGATCATCATCATTAAAAGAAAATTATAGGTTTGAAGAGATAGAGAGAGAGAGAAAAAGAGTGCACACAATAAAGCATTCCACCAAAAATGAAACTTAACCTTATTCTTTGGTTTGTTTCTTTGTGCTTTCTCTCTAAATTAGAAGACAAACTAGAGACAGAGATATCAAACACATAAAGTGTTCTCACACATGGTGTCATGTTTATGAAGACTGACCCATCTCATCTTTATCTAATGAGCGTCTAGAAAAAAGAAATCAGAACAATGATGGGCTCAGTGAGAGTTGTAATCATGTTGCTGTCATTTTTTTTTTTTGACATCTTTTTGTCTATACCATAACTGGCATTAAATGTCACACATTATGCACACATTATTACCATGTTTTGGAACACTAATAGGTGTCCCTAGTCTGTCTACAAACCCTCCAATGATGAGAAAAGTCCATCCTCTCCGTCTTTTGCCTGCTCCACTTTTCAGAAAATGTGTGCTTAAACAGGCCGTTTGGAGATTTTCCCTTCATGACATCACAAAGGGCAGTAACCCCTCCCCCAGATGGGTGACACTCCCACAGCTAGGTGTTTGTTCTGCCCTGAGTCTGCCTTCTCACCGTAAACAATAGGACATGGAGCGAGAAAGCCTGAGACACCCAAGCCCTTCCAGAGAGGGGCGTGGTCAGACACAGCTCATTTACATTTAAAGGTACAGACACAGAAACAGCCTGTTCTGAGCAGGGCTGAAATAGAGGGGTTCATAGACATGTTCAAATACAGGATCAGAGTGGATTTAGAACAAGAAACTTCACACACATGTTTTGGGGAGCACTGAGACTTTTTTAAAAAACTTCTTGGATCTGTATTAAAACTGTCAGTAAGTGCACATTGGACACCAGTTGGATTATGCAAAAAAATCTTTCATTTTATTGTAGATATCTATGAAATGTGTGTTGACAATGTTACAGAGACTCCAAAAACATGAAATGGTTAAAAACTATTTTTCTCTGTCATTCATCACCAGCACCCATGAAGCAAGGAGTTCATGCTGCAATAAGAACATAAGACCAAAGTGACACCATGGCCAGCTTTCACCTCTGTTCAGGGGATTCTGAGGAGAAACATCCAAAGAGGCCATAATTTAAGGATGCAATACCAAAGCAATGGTGGCTGCACTGGATTCCACTAAAATGAACTTTATCCCCAGAATTCTTGAAGTAGTATTTTTTCACAACAAGAAGGAAAGCAACAAGATTTGCTGCATGATTTGTTTTAACCTTCTGGTGCTACATAGTATGTTTGTTTTACAGATGAGTTGTACATGAAGTCCATTCAGTTTTTTTTTAAAAGTTGAGTTTCCTGGAAAAAAGCCATGACAGAAGTTTTCATATTTTTAAAAAACAAATGCAGTTTTAAGAATGAAACAAGAATCATATATGAATATCTTGAAAAGGCGTTAGCAATACATTGTTACACACAGGACTGCTATTATCCAAAGCAGTTTTTTATATATTGTGTTTTTTTTTACATTCCACATTCACTTAGAAACATCCGCTTTGTTTGATTTATATTATTTTATACTTTAACTCACTTGATCTCTTTGGAAGCATCCCTTCACTTTTTACATTCACAGAATCCACAGCAATGTTTGCACAGGCCTCATATGGCGATGTGTGTATTTAAATGACAACGACCAACGCTAAAAAAAACAAACATTGATGTTATGTTAAGTGCACTTCTGGATCCACTGCCTCAAACACACAAGTTCCAACTATTCATTAAGGGAATGTACTTGTCAAGCTGTTTTTGTTTTAATGAAATCTGTGTTTCATCTGGGTATAGGAGAAATAAAAATGAATTAAACATGAGCAACTGATTCTTTTCTTTCTTGTTTTGAATTAGGACCGTTTACGAAAAAAAAAAAACCTTTGTGAGGGAGATCACACCAGGGTCACTCAGGGGGCCTTTCTCAAACTGCTCCCTCCGGCACAGAGTAGACCCCATCTGACGTCACGCCCACAGCTGACTGAAGTACGCTTTGTTAAGGTAGAGGGGATAAATATAGCAGCAAGCTTCTGGATGAACTCCCATCAATCACACAGAAACAGGAACTTTATTTTACCTTGATTTTATTCACTCAAATAATAAATTGTCTACATAAATACTTTTAGGCAGACTCATCCCTTCACAACATAAAACACCTACACATTTATTGGCATTTCCAATTAGTGTTGGAAAGCTGTCACAAACTGGAAAAACTAAGAAAAAAACAAACAACTATTTATTTTAAACAAAAAGGCAAAACAAACTTACTATCAAAAATGCCCAAACCAAAAAATCCACAAAAGAAAAAAAACAAGTCATGAGGAACGTCTGACAATTGACGAGGAGAAAATGTAACAATGACACAGGAGGGAAGAAACACAGAGATGAAATAGACAGGGTAATCAAACACAGGTGAGACCAACAAAACACAGGTGAGGACAATCAGGGCAATCAAAACTGGAGGGAAACACACTGAGGCAGGAATAAAGACAAGACAAGAAACACTGAGGACAACTACAAAATTAATCAAAACACACAGAGAACTCAACGTAGACAATACACACTAGAACACAGAACACTGGGATAAGAAATTAGCAAAATAAAAACACTAGAAACTAAAGTAGGAAAAAAGAACTACTAAAACAGGAAATACTGAAAATACAAAATATACAACTTAAACTAGACCAAATCATGACAGAAAGTCACTGTAAACATAAAACACTGTAAGTAAACACGAACCCGGTGCAGACTCTTTATCTCACCACCAGAGATAGTGAGCTGTTCTCTGTGTTTTTCTGGTGTCAGCTTGGGATTCTACCTGAGCACCACCAGTTGCTTTGAGAGTGTTGTTTGTTGCTGCTGGGTTTTTTCTCACCCAGCCTTCTTTGTTTCTCTTAAAACACGACGCGGCAGTTAGATACTCTCAAAGTTCGGTGTTATGGGGACTTTAGGTGCCCTCACCCTAGGCAATCTGTGCTGTGCACAAAGCACGCTTCACCCCCAAAGCACAGCACGGTATAGTCCAAGCACAAGCACAGGTACACATCGTGGAACAGCCTTTATCATTAAAGCCATACATGTGTTGTATTACCACGTTATGTACAAGAGGTTACAATGCTCAGGCCCGGTTAGTCTTGGAGCAGTGTGAGTGCCGGCCGTGGGGGGGAGTAGGAGGAGGTGCGTAATCGTGCTTAAACACAGTACGGGACAACTTTGACTAGTGTGAGGGCGTCCTTTACCGACCCTCTGTGATTCCAGGGCATTTGCTGATTGGACAACACAACAGATGACCCACAGAGGCTTTTATTTCAAATGCATAACTGAAAAAGGCCTTTCTGATGGAAGCCAAACGTCTTTAATTATTTCTACCAAGTCCAGCTTTTGGATTAACTTTACAACGTGTGGCAGCTTGTGTTAGGACCTCCTGAAATGTAAAAGATTGAAATAAAAACATTCCCCCACACTTCCTCATCTTTTCTATTTTAAAGACCAGCGCTCACTTCAAGCAGTGAGGAGTTTTTAGCAGGATATTAAACCTCTCACTGTGGTGTAAGTTGTTCTCATTGTGAGAGATCAGACCTCCATCATTTAAAGCAATAGTGAAACATGAGCGTTCTGTCATTGTCTGCAAAGAAAAAGATTAAACATTTGGTAGGTGGATGTAAAAAGCCTGGGGAGATTGCTCTCTTTCTCTCTCTCTCTCTCTCTCTCTCTCTCTCTCTCTCTCTCTCTCTCTCTCTCTCTCTCTCTCTCTCTCTCTCTCTCTCTCTCTAACCACAACAAATCTTCCAGATGTTATGTCTCCTGTGAGATTCACATAGTTCATTGTTTTGATGAACTCTCTCGACTTCCTGACTCTCACACTCCACACTCACCACTTCATTTCATTTTTTCATAACCATATAATTCACACCGTGCAGGGTTCACCACTATTCTCGCTGTAGAAGGGAATCTGACGATTGGGATGAAGAGTGAAGCGTAATGTGCCTTTAATCCATTTGTGATGTGTAGAGCTTTTCTAGTATCGACAACTCAAACTCAAAGCGCTTTACCCTGCGGGTCACACCTATTCAACACGTGTAATTTGTCCACCTGTAATAACTAATCCCAATCAAATGCCAGAGACCAAGGACGCATCAGATATGTGGTTGCAGGAGCTAGGAGTTGAACCCCCAAACCAAACCAAACACAGACAACCCTGCAGACAATAAAACCAAAAGAGAGAGCGATTGAGTATCCATGATTTTGATTAAATTAATAAAAAGTGGAGTATAAATATGAAAATAAATAAGAAAATGGATAAGCAAGTAAATAAAGATAAAGCCATTATTATTGTCAATTCTTAAGCAATAAGTAAGTAATAACTGTAATACTGACAGACGGACTTTGGGAAAATGAAAGCACACATTTATCTTGTAATACAAGAGATGCTTGCAGCTAAAAATAATTTGTTTGTTCCTTTCCTCTTTTGACATTACGGTACCTGTGCATGCGAGCAATTGTTCTCCCAGTTTGGTTTGGGAAAGACTCGACTTAACTCCACAGAGCTTTCACCTCAATCCCACTCAATATCTTTGTGTTGTGAGCCGGGCCCTATCAGACTGTCTCTAAACAGAAGCAAATCCCTCCCGCTTTGTTCTAACATTGGGCGCAGTGGCGATTTTAGTCTGTTGGGGCCCGAGGCTAACATTCATTTAGGGCCCCTCCAACCACCATTATGACTGCCGGTTTCCAGACGCTCTTCCTCTTTTCACTCCCAGACAGATAATTCCTTTTTCACTTTTTTCACAGGACTAATACATGAGATGATAAGCAGGGCAATGAGAGTGACTACTGTCAGATGGGGCCCCATTGGGGATGTTTCCTACTGTCATTGCAAAAGTTGCACATTTTGAGCTACTGCTGATTTTTTAAGTTTGTCAGCCTTCGAGGACCCCTCACTGGCCTGGGGCCCTGAACAGTTGCCTGCCTTGCCTGTTGACAAGCAGCAACTCTGATTGAGAGGAAAGGCTCAAACTGATGACTGATATTGTAGCATCAGATTTATGCTCATGATTTTAGAACAAGATGCTGAGATTTCTACATATTTATGGCCATAATAGGCTGAAATAAAAGAAGCCTCTCTCTCTGATTTGGTAGTTTTGGTTTTGCACACTTTGCTACTCGAGCCTTTAGTTAAAGCTGATTTCCCCACATCACACAGAATTAAATCTTGTTAGCACATTATGACATTACACTAGAGGACGATTACTCACATCCAAACCCCCTAACTGAACACAACTGCTCACAATTAGCGGTGAGACATGAAATATTTCCACCAGTGCTGACTTTATCTCTCTCTGGGTGGAAATTTGTACTTTTAGACAGATGTGTGAAATAATCAAACAGCTGTGGGACTATTGCACAACAATGTAATAACTTTTAGCATTTATATGAACAATGTGCAAACCTCATTGCATAAACTGAATATTCTCAGACATGTCGCATCGTGCAGTTTAGCCAAGTGATCAGTAACACATTGTCTCAGCAGCCATTTCTCATCTGTGTACAACCATCATGGTGTCTTTGTTTGCCATATAGATGTATATGTGAGAGCTGGTAGTTTAAATCCCAAAATCATGCTGTCATCAGTGCTCCCAAAGCAAACTGTATTAGGAGTATTTTATAGTATATTTCAAATTTTTCACATGTTCTTTGATGGGCCAGATTTCAATCATTATGATTGGTCTCACATGATGTCAGACTGATTAATAACAACAGTAAAGGAATAGTCTGACAGTTTTGGAAACACAATCTATTGTAACTTTTGTCAACTCTGGCTAACAGATGTTCATGTAGCCTCCAGGTAAATTGTTTTTATGGGACAGCAGCTAGCGACTGTCGCGGCTGCCAAAAGAAAATCAGATCGTTTAGAAGTCCAATGATGTAAAATGACCCTCAAAGCACGGCTGATTGAATACCTTAGTGATCATTTCCCAATGAGTTTATGCTCTAACTCTCTAGATACGTGTCTTCTCAGCATGGTTTCGAGTTTCGAGTAATTAACTCAGGATTTCCTTTGTTATTATAAGCCTGATTTAGTCAGCCACATTGGTCCCAATTTATATCAGTTTCCATGAAACAAACAAACAAACAATAAGAAGATCTCTACAGCCAATGTTTCGAGCTTGGGGCCTTTTGTTTTGTTGTGCTGTTTAAGTCAATATAAGAGAAATATACTTGAGAATGGGAACCTATTTTGTCGCAGATGTTATCGGTCTAGCTTGGGAAATAAATCTGGATATTTCGTCCATAGTTTTAGATTGACATGTAGTTTTATAACATAACTGAATGATGAACTCTGTAATTTGACTTTTGGCGTCTCACACTTGTGAGGGTTTACCAGTTGTACAAGACACTAAATAACCAAATCAATTATTTAAGTTAACTTTTAACCTACTGGAAAGTTAAGGATATAAATCTCTAATATCTGGTTTTGTTCCCCTTGATTATGTTTAAATTTCTCACTTGTACCTGGAACAACATGCCAACACCAACTCTGAGTTTTGTTTCATTTCTTGCAGCGTTTTGTGTGCAGTCTGACCCAGTGGACATCTTCCCTTCAATGCGTCCTTCATCCTTTTTCAGATTGGTATTGATGTGTCAGTGTTGGCTTCATTTTACAGTCAGTGAAGTTTAAAAAAGCAGAGTGACTGAGCAAAAAGTATAAAAAAAATAAAGAAAAATGAAGCATTCATCCATGTTCAGCAAAACCGAGTCCACAGGAGCTGGTTCTTCTGTTTCAGAGTTTCCACAATGAGCTGAAGGTGACTAACGTTAGCTT